GGGGGCGTGGAAGCGCCCTGCTTGGAATGATAATGGTACCACGAAACATTCCAGGCGATTCGCAAAGTACACAGTGCTGCGTTTGAACCTGGAGTGGTGAGATACATGCAGTCCCAGGCAAGGGAGACCAGCAGCAGGATGGGAAGGAAAAAAAAAAGGCCTCTTGTCTCTTGTTTAGAGGTGACCCAACCTCATGATTGTCGGGTGGCGAGGAAACGAGTGGCTGTCGATTCTTCGTCCTTGCATCATTGGTTGGGAGGAGAGAGGAGAGTTTGAACAAGGTTGGTGTGGCTGGGAGGGCCAGAAAACGAGATGGCAGAGACACCAGCCGCAGGAAGCAAGCCACAACCAGCAGATCCACGTGTGAAGTTTGGGTGGAGCATGTGGGGGATTTCATTGTGGCGAGTGTGTGCTCCATCGCGGGGGAGGCAAGCGCTGTGGCTTACGCGTGGCCAGCATTCTGTGGCTTGACGGTCCCTCTGCCTCTGCCGGGTATGACGCCATGTGCTGTGGGAGGATGGATACAGGCTCGTAAGGCTAACTAACCCCTAGTAGGGACGGCCGCCGCCGCCTTGGGGCTGGTTGCTAAATACAGGTACCTGCAACACTGTGGCGCTAGCCTTTCGGGCGCGCCCAAAGTCCATCAAAGGTGGTCGATCAGGCAGACTTTCTTACACTGTGTATACAGTGCACACATGCGGAGGCAGCTGCGTCTCGTCCGTCGTGAGAAGTGTATTTTCCATCTCACTGCATTCCGAGTTGGGGGCTTGAAAGAAGAAAAGGAACGAATTGACAAATAAAGAAGGGAAAAAGAAAAAAAGAAAAAATGAAGACAAGAAGAAAAATCGCCAAGGCTGCCATGTGTCCAGGCTGGTGGCCCCTTGCTGGTGCTACGATGGCGACACCACCAATTGCTACCGCCGCCACCACCCACGGTGACGGGTTGGTGGTTGGTTGCACTGTGCGCTTGTTTTACACTGGCAACACCGAGTGTATTAGACAAGAGGGCTGCTACGTGCAGAATCTTTTTTCTCCCTGACGGCCTGCAGTGCAACGTCTTCCACGCACAAGTGTGTGTGGGTGCAGAAGCAAGCGAAGCAACAAGCCGGAAGGGCGGCGGCGGCGTCCATCTTTGAAAGATGACACAGACGAAAACGAGGCGCTCGCTGGGACGTGGATGCATAATGTTCGATTCTTAAATTTCCGAAGCTGCGACGGAACGCATGTCATCTTTGAGCCCGAGCGCTGAGGCACCGGTATCTCGCAGCGCACACCAAAGGTCGGACGATCTCTACACACGCAGAGTGTGAGGGAACCGTTTCGTCGAACCGGTTTTTACCAATTAAAAAGGGTCGGGGGGGGGGGGGGGGGTTTAACTCCTCCGCCCTCCATACGATCGCCCTAGTAAAAGAGGAATCGAGTTCGAGGGATGGATGGGTATATACTTCCCTTATCGTGTGTAAACCTGAGGCTGTAAATTTGTCTTAGTTGGGCAAGTCTTGGTGCAGAACCCCTTCGACACGGACAGGAAAAAGGTGCTGGCGTCAAGTGACTTGGCCCGTATGACGGTACGAAGAAGGGTTCGTCGGTTCAGCCTCGTTGCAGCTTCCTGCGCCCCAAACTTGGATTTAGTTATTTGTACCACTGCGGAGGAGGTTAGCAAAGTTGCAAAAGAGAGACGGAGATCATGATGATCTCACCGAGACGGCAGGACAGCAGGACATCTCTGTGTGCGTATGTGTGCTCTGCAGATGTTTAGTAGTCCGTGAACCCATTACACTCAGCGGCTGACTCGGAATTTGGCTCTTCAAGAAATGCCGACGTGAAGCACGTACATGGACACTGTACGAGTTACATGAGAGCGATGGCTGGCGAGCCAAGTCTGAGCCGCCCTGCTTGTCGCACTGCCCTGGTGGTGGGCGCATGCATCAACTCGAACCGAGTCGTTGCTTTTTCTTTCTAATCAACTTCTTCGCATTTTCTGCCCTTGGTGGCTTGGGCCATTTACGGTGGGAAATGGAAGGATGGGCAGTGATGCGCCCGTATCTGTCCAAGACGACGCCGACTAACGACCAGTGCATTTGTCGCATGTGCATGTACCGTGCGACCATGATGCCATGATGGAGGTACGGATACACTGAGAGTTGACCGGCCATGTTCCAGCAAGTCAAGAGGACGATGGGCAGTTCGGCCGATTCATGGACTCTCGGCATCAATGCACCTATAACTAGTTAATGTCTAGTCCCAATGGTACGTTCATTTTATGGTTTCTCATTCCAAACATATTCTATGTGCGATGCCAGGTGGCATGGGCTTCTGCGAGTTCATCATGGCGTGCGGGCCAAGTTCCAGGCGCATTGTGTTCAGAGAATGAGGCATAGCGCGATGGAAGCTATCGAAATTCCAAAACTGAAAAATTGGACGATAGAGCATGAATAATGAGGGGTAATAAAGAAAGAATATTATTCCAGGGCAGTTGTTGGTGAAACACAGATACACTTAACGGCATGTAATAATGCAAGGAACTGTTACTCCTGTACCAGTTCTGTAGCGAGACTTTCGCTTGTGCCTGGCCTAGGCGGCGTTCGCGCCAGGGATCTTACAGGCCGGCGCAGAACGCCGTTCGGGGCGGCACATGAGCTAACAATAGTCAGGCGAGCTACTAGAGAGGCATTATCTGCACAGTATTAAGACGACTCGCCGATAGACAGTTTTCATGGGAGATGCACACAGATCAGTGAAGGGTAGGCAGGTAGAAGTGGCGATAACTGACAGCGTTGAGATGCCGCCCTGGTTGTGGGAGCCTCCAATCAGAACTCGTGGACAGTGCGTATCCAAGAGGCGATCCCTCGCCAATTCTCAACTCCTCCTCAGATCACACACGGTGTGGCCTCCTTGGACCCTCCAGCTACACTAGCTGCCGGAGACGCCCCCCCTTTGGGTCAGGCGGGAACGGATTCACAAAGGATGTGGTGGTCGTGATTGGCGAGGACGAGCTGGCGGGGTTCTCAAGAGCTAGGGAAAAAGGCGGACAGCTTGTTGCAAAGGGGGCAGGTTGATGGATGCGATTGGCGAGGAGGCAAGATGCTGGTGGCGCGAGCTGATGGGAACTGGCGAACAATACATCTCAATCAAGAATGATCAAGGGCACACTGGGTACAACTAGATCTGTCCTCAAGTTGGTTGAAGAAAAGTCAGCTCTCGGCTATTTCAAGACAGAGAAGAAGAAGCGGTAAAGGGCTGGGAAAATCATGATTGTCAAGAGGAGTGGGTTTCGATGGAACGCTGCAATGCAGCATGCAGGCCCATCTTGAGTGGCGTGCTGTCGATTGTTACTGGGCAAGTGGGCATTGTTCTTTGTGTCTTCGTGTCGGTGTTGGTAACTGGAAGCGGAATCTTCGTCCTCACGGTAATGTGGTTTTCCGCCCACGCCAAGCGTCCTCGACCTGCAAAGTACTCAGGGTCACCAACCCTCGATTGAGACAATTGCTAAAAACTCAGTAAATGCCCACCAAGCCTATGATTCAAAGGTCAGAGTCGAACGCAAGGGAGTGACGTACAGGTCCCCATAGGATCAGGATCGGAGCAAGTTTCCAAAAAGGAAGCATATTGGTAGCCTGATCGCTGCTTGTTCCTGGGGAAGAAGAAAAACCCCCATGGATAGTCAAACTGTAGCGGAGATTTTTTTCAAGCATGGCGAGAAAAAGGAAACCAACATGTTTCCGATTGCGTGAGCATTGAGCAAGGAGCTGGATAGCGTTTGGGATGATTTTGCTTTTTTCCCCTCCTTGACTGATGGCTCAAATGTGGCTGCAACTGGCCGCATCACACGCACCACCACTACCGCCACCGTCACACAGCTCTCCAAGAATGGAATTTGCTAGCTTTCTTATTAGGGCGGCGAAGGAAGGGGCCATTTGAAACAGCGAAGAGGTGTGTGTGGCGGCGTGGTGGTGAGGCAAGTCTGTGACGAGATATTGGATGTTCATAAGCGGAATGGGAATGAACCAGTCAATGTTGTAACAGAGTCTGCGACAGGTGAACGGGATGGGATGAGATGGGTGGTTTGAGGGACGGCGATGTTCTTGGAAGCTGGCATGTCGGGGGTTGTTGGTGTGTGTGGACGTGTTTGGTGATGGATGAGCAGCGAGCAGCGAGCAGCGAGCAGCCAGCCCCTTGATCTTTCTTCCTGTGGCTGTGGCGGGCAGGGAGAGGAGAGGGCCAAACTGGTTGGTTGCTTGACTGCCGCGATGACTGAATGGTCCGCACTGCTCCATTGTCTTGAATTTTTACCGGCATCTCTTCCTTTCATCCATTGTATTTATTGAATTTATTAATTAATTAATTAATCCCTTATTTTTAATGTTTTAATCATCCTGCTCAACAGCCAACTCCACCAAGCCAAGCAACAAGCTCCTCTTGCTCCTGTTCTTTTACGACCAGGGGACCCCCGACCCAAAAAACGGGCCCCGCAAGTACACAGTGCGCCATATTCCCATCTGGCACCGTCTTTTGCACCACCACCCACCTGCCGCCAATGCCTGCATACCAGCCGGTGGAACGGCTTGATTGATATACAGCCCACCCCTCCGCCGGCCACCACCTCCCAGCCCTCGATCTTTTTTGCTCTGGTACTCTTCTTCCTCTTCTTCCCTGGCCATCCTAAACATTTTGCATTCTTTGCAAAAAGGGCCCCTCTCTTTTCTTCTTTTCTCAACCGTCTTCTCTTTACCTGGCTGGGCCTGTAGGCGTTTTGCCTTGTTTCTCCCAGACTACGCACTATTCACCTTTACATTCCTTTCCTTCTCTCTCGTACAACACGCCCCTCTGTCGACTCGCTCCTACCGTTCTGTCCGCCACGACTCGATCATAATCGCGGATCAGCTGATATTTCATTCTCGAGTCTTGTGTTTCCGAACCGCGTTGTCCTAAACAACAAAAAGAGTACCGCGTTGGGCGTACTCTTGGCGTCTCGCCAAGCTACCGTCACCCGTTTACACTTGGATGCACAAGCATCACCATCAGGTGTACTAGGACCCCGTCACACAACAATACACCGTGTTTGTCTATGGTTGGCTTCACCTCGACGGCACCACTCCCGATTTGAACAAGGCCGACTCACCACCACAATACACTCCCCGCCAACCGGCTTCGAAAAGCTCAACATGTCTCTCGTCGAGCTGTCACGTCCTGCCACCCTCCCCGCCGCCTCCATTCCAGACAACCACACCGCGTCACAGCTCCAATCCACTTATAACTCGTCTACTTGCAGTTCGCCTCGTCCTCGTTCACTTTCATTGTCTATTGAACAAGCTATGACTCCTACTGCTACAACCACAACTACCAACAGTCCAGTCATTGGCGACATCAGCGACGACATGCTTTCAATACACTCCACCAAGAGCGAGTCCTTCGTGTCCGCCACCACCAGTGCACCTGCTCTACCCGAGAAAAGCGCTCTGCGAGTCTCGAGGCTCCTCGCCACCCTCCCGCAGAAGCTGCCTGAGGACCGCCCTGTCCTCACCCACGCTGCGCCTCACCTCGTCTACCTGTCGTCCGAGGAAGACGGCTCGTCATCAGCCGACGACCTCTCCGACCTCGACTCCTTTGACTCGGACAGCGAAGAGTCTCTCGACGGCTTCGCCTCCCGGGGCGAGTTTGCCCGCGCCGTCTCCGTTGTCTTCTCAGGCAAGCCCTCGGTGGTCAATCTCACCGGCCGCAGCACCTCGCTTACATCGCTTCGACGCACCTCGACCGACTCTTCCCTGCGTTTGACCACAACCGAGCCCGTGCTCGGCCGCATGCGTTCTACCTCTGCCACCTCCTCCACCACCAGCCTTAGCCACCCGCCTCGGTCAAGCAGCATGACCATGAGCGCGGACAAGCGCCGCCCGAAGTTCCTCAACGTCGACCCTTTTGCCGCCAGCAAGGACGACGCGGAGAGCCTCAAGGCACCCAAGACGCCGACCGCCATGTTCTCTCGCGCCTTTAGCAGTCTGGTCAAGAAGCGAAGCCGCCCTACGCTGACTCCCGTCACCCGTGAGGACCTGGTCCGCATGGAGCAGGTTGGCGAAGAGACTGCCGAAGATGACGAGTCCGTCTCGCCCAAGTCGACGCAGGCTGGACCCATCAAGTACCAGGATATCGTGACCACCGCCAAGAAGAACGCCCAGCAGCCCACACCTTCGCCCGCCACGCCCACATCACCAAACGGTGGTAAGAATGGCATCCGCGGCTTTTCGTTAAGCCGACGGATGAGCGTTCGCGCATGAGCATTTGCGCAAAGCATTTGCATTGAAGCACACTATATCATGGATATGTGGCGTTTCTTGTTATATCCATTCATGGCTGTTCATTTGTTTACGGCGCTGGTCGGCATCTTTTCTTTACAATCCTTTACTCGATTACACTCCACTTCGGCGCACAGGGCATACAGGACAGTACAGCGCAGGGACATTGGCACATAAAATGTGTTGATTTTATTTATTTATTTATTATGGGTAACGGATTCTGCAAGGTGTTTTTCTTGTTTCTTTTCTTTTTATAATATCTTATACTATTCTTGTTGATAAGAATGACTACTGGGCAAGAATGCCTCTGAGAAGGCCAGGCGTTTTGTTCAGGCGACCCGCTTTGGGTTTATGAATAGTTGACTTTGAATTGACTCGCAGCTGCGACTTGACTCTTATATTCTATTATGCTATTGCTCGCGCGAACTTGCCTGTGATTCACTGTTATGCTTGTTGACTCGGTCCTGTAAAGTCTAAAATCACCATGACATCCTGGCGGAGCCTCAACCTGCGTTGGGAGGGGGGCTGCATGAGGGAGGGTGTTAGCCGAGTTCTTGGCATGGAAGCTTGTCTGTCTTTTTTTAGGAGCCGGGATAAAAGTACCATCATGTAATACACCATGCTAATCCTGGAAAAGAAGCGGAAGGGGAACAAAAAAGATTTCGCTTGTCATACGAACGAAAGAGGATCCTGAGCAATGCAACATCATCTACTTGTACTTTTCACAGTGTGTAGATGGCAAACCGATTAGCGTTGAACATTGGAATACGGATCAACTTGGTTGGATGGTGGTTTTGACGTGCGTCGACGGTGACTGGTCGAAGCTGGACCCGGGATTTCGTATTCATGCAAAGTCCGTCCACCGGCCGGAAGCTAAAAAAACCCCATGCAGCCCGACGATGTGTCCCGTGTATGCAGGCAGGCCGAAGGTACATGTGTGGCGCATCCTCGCCTTGGGAGTCGAAAAAAACTTGCCTTTTACCGGTACAAGCTGGCCATCTATTTTTACCTGTGGTTGTTAGACATGCTCTTTTCTTTTCTTTTTTCTTCCCCGGAAATGATGGCGATGTTGGTCTGGTGGTATCTCGAAAAAAGTAAAAAAAAAAAAGAGCTATTCTTGTACGCGGCCGGGGGGGGAGAGGAGAATGGTTTAGCTCGATTCCTCTGCCAAGTTGGTTACACACGAAAAGAGAGAGAGAGAGAGAGAGAGAGAGAAAGACGCGCAAAGGGGGTAGCTGGTTCTGGAGGTAGTAAGGTAGGGCTGGAAGGACGAGCGCAAAGGCAAAAATACTGTTGCTCGGTGGACAGTCAGATGGGCAAAGACAGCTCAGACAACGGTGACAGTGGTGAGACGGGCAGAAATGAGGTCATCGGAGCTTTCTGTCCCTCGCTGCGCTCTGTTAGCTGTCCCTTCCACGTGCTTCAGTGTCAAAGCGCCGGGGAGGTCTGTGGTCGATAGCGAATGAATGTTGACTTGAGCCGATCTTGCTTTCTTTTTGGAAGGGCACTGTGTACATGACGATGGAGAAAAGGTTCTTATTCCCAATCATCCTCTTTCATCTATTTTCCCTTTGCGTACGATGTTTGCGTGGGTTGATTTGTTAGCCTCGTCCGGCAGCCTTGCCCGTTTTGGCGCGCGTTGAAAGAAAAACGCGTCAAAATTTACAATCTATTCGAATTAATTAAGCTTGCTTTATCCGTTAGTAGTTCATCTCGGGACAGGTCCGAGAAGAGATTGTCGGGCGATACTGGTTGCACCGGAACTACATGTCTAAAGTTTGAGTATTTCGTAAATGTGACTGTCGCTACGGGTATGCAGCCACGGATTCTCAACAGACATCTCCCGACTTTGAGGTACATATGGGAAATGCTTCCTTTTCGCGTCTGGAACATGTGTTGCCCAGGATTAAGCAAAAAAGTGCCGCGTCCCCGCCAGCGCCAGGGGAAAATTTGACGACAAGGCCATGGAATAAATGTCTTGCTCTCGCTTGGTAGTGCCGGGCTTGTATCCGTCTTTTGCTCTTTTTGCGAAAAAGTTCCTACTCAGTACTGCCCGCTTATTATTTTCCCGGATGGCACGAATACGGGTGTACGTCAGCTGTCATTTATTTGCTCGTTGGTTGTGAGGCCAACACGGCAAGGAATGAGGCCATGAACAAGAAAATTCCAATATCGAAGGCGCAAGGCTCCAGAGCTCCATGATAACGGATACAATGACTTTGTATAAAACAAAGCCAAAGCTCGGACCAAGCCCTCCCTCCCCTGGTCACGTTGGCGTGATTTATGGGTTCTGGCGAAATTAACCAGACGAGAAAGCGCAAGGCTCCTCTCAAGATGGGCTTTTGGCAGAGAATGCGCTAGGCTGATCATGGGATTAGCGGCGAACCCATGATGTGCATGAGGATACAGATAGTCAGGGGAACCAAAACGGTTCCTTCTCGGGGCCAGGGGCCAAGGGGCCGTGCGAAGGGGGGGGGGGGGGGGGGTCAGGTCAGTTCTTGGTCGCACAGTGTGGTGAGGAGAGGGCGGTACCTGAACCTGGCCGTGATAATCTTACGAACCTGGTCGCGATCCTGGACGGCTGGGAACTATCTAGGCAGCGAGCCAGGGTCCGGTGAACTCGTCACTTTGTTTCTGCAGGATCCGCGACGATGCTGGGCTGGACCCTGTCCGGGGAAATGAAAGGGATCGTCGTACTTTTCGGATTTCAGGTTGTTCATGTATTCGAAGCATTACTTAATCGCGAACGCGGCGCAGCTGCAGAACATGTTCGTTCGATCGAAAGTTGACTTGTTGGGATTTCGTTTGCTCCGACAAAAAACCATTCGTTCGGATGGCGGACAAGGTGTGCAAGATTGCAGTGCGGGGCGCATACGGCAAGCTGCAGCACAGCACGGCACAGCATGGCACAGACACACACAGTGCCTCGTCATTGCAGCTCGGCGTGCAGCGGAAGACGGAAGATCAGTTTGGAAAAAGGCCCAGAAAGTCCGGTATCTCATTTCATTCCTTGACCCGATATGTGCCGTGCCACGGCTTGTGTATCCGATGCACGGCCGATGGGCACATGCGGGTGCTGCATCGCGAGGCTGTTTGTATGTATGTACCTACATACATACCTTATGTGCAAGCACTGTGCTGTTGTTCAGCTGCGTCCTGCGGAAAAAACGCAATGATTGAACTGCTCTACAGCGAGCGCATGAATTTATCGATACGTCAGGAGTTGCGCCCAGATGCGCGCTTCAAACAAGTCGTCGTCGACACACCAGGTTGACAGCTTCAACAGACCAAGTTGACGCGGGGTTTGTTTCAAGTCTGACACTGGTCTCGTTTGCACCAAGGCGGGATAAAACACTCTGCACCGGACGTTGAAGATGCGATGCGATGCGCATGCTGCTTGGATGCGCTGAATTGTTTCGTGGGATTGTGAGGCTCCAAAGATTACCCGAAACCTGTTGAAGCTGGCGCTTGTGAAGCCATTTCCGACGATGATGAGGGGCGCGCGTCTGAAACACGCCTGGCTATATTACGGATTAGTTGCGGATGAGGATGGCTCTGCAAAGGTAAATGGTAAAACGTAAAAAAACGAGAGAGACGAGCACGTGGGACAAGCGGTCTACAGTTGCGCAAGTAGACTTTTCCAAGAGTAACTGTGAGCTAATTGCTTCATGTCGTACGTCGGTCGGGGAGAGGAGATAAAGATGAATCTATCGAGGTTCAATCCAATGACGCAGGAAATCGCCCAGCTCTGTTTGATGGATGTTGGCCATCAGTCAGTCAGTATGCCTCTGTTTTGCTTTCTGTTAATGCTTGGTCCGACTTTGGCGACAGACGAGAAGGACGCCGGTATTTTTACATATTCACCAATATTGAAACATTAGGGTGATGCCGCCAATTCTGATCATGGACAAGTCATCGGCACGCCTCTCGAGGTGCTGCTGATGCGAGGGTAGAGTTGCAAAAGACATCTTGCCCGCCTAACACTGCCGAAGGAGAGGCGTCGGATACGCCCGAACGAAAAGAGAGAGGACCTATCCCGCTTGGAGCTCATAAATAGAGTGCAATTCTGCGAAAGCAAGTGTCGTGGGCAGAATTCTCTGATATTCCGGCAGCTCTTCTTCCAAGGTGGACTTGTGCGCGGCGGGCATGAGCTTGACGGCAGCCTATATGGCCAGGTGCGGAGTCTCGGAAAGCCACAGAAAAATTTTCCCTTTGCATATGTAGCTGAGGTAGTATTTCACCCGCCAATAAAGATCAAGGTCGGTGAGGATCAAGTCAGGAAGTGAGGCAAATCTCCAACTCCGAGGACCCGGAGCCGTGGCGGAGAGGCTTGCGCTAGTGGGTGCTTTGAAGGTGGGGTCGCCCGACTCCGGTGATCGGCCGGGGCTGGGAAACAGCTTGGTAGACAAAGAACCCATCATATTTCAGTGGATTGTACAAGGAGAAAAAAGTGACAGCTTCTCGGTGACGGGAAAAGGGATAGAAGCGCATTCCTCGCCTGATGCCGTGAAATATGAGCTCAACAGCCCAACCGTTGGCACGGCTGGCTGCGAGGGAGGAGGAAACCTTTTCACTGGACAAGCGAGATGACAAGCCCAACGACGGACGGGCCGGCCGAGCGCTAACCCAAGGAGCAGAATTTGACCGAAAAACTTGGTTGGGTGGCGGCTGGCTGGGCTGGCGGTCGGCCGACTAACTAGGTAGTGAGAGGGGATCGATGTTGAATCTCGAGTAATGCGTTGAGGGAAATAAGGGACAATGAGGAGACATGAGGAGAAGGATAGATCCAGCTTCGGCCCTATTCATCATCAGAGCAGCTACCAACCCCAGGTTGGCAGGTATCGCCAACCTGTTCTGGCTTAGGTACATAAGCCTCAAGATCCAAGGTTTTTAACGCAAATTCAGGTCCTGCGGCTGGGGCTTCAGCGCTAAATACCCCAGACCCGCCCTGAAGCTCCCCGCTAAAACTCACCGTCCAGGCGCTGTGGTTTGCTGGATTCTGCTTGCTCTGGCGTCTTTAGTGGTTCGTCGGCGCAGGCCTTCAGGGTTGAGGTTGGCCCATTGGCTGCCCGGCCAGCGCGCTCCAGCCTGCCAGCCATCATCCCATCCCCCATGGTCCTGGTCACCGGCCTCCAGCTTCTTTGCCCAGCCTCGACAACTCCGGCGTCGCCCCCTCCTCTCTCTCTCTCTCCATCTGCGCGGTAATCTTCTCTTCCTTTTTTCCTCTCTTCATCATACCGCAATCCTTTGCAATTCCCTCCTTCGTCGGCTGCGTACCTAACAATCGCCCAATCCCGTACCGCCCCCACGATAGCTTGTCCGCATCCGCACAAACGCAGCTAAGCTCCACGGAACGAGATACTTTTTGCGTGGCGTGCTTCCCCTCATCTCGAGCTCGACTCCAAACTCGCCAACGCGAACCCAACACAAGATCAAACGCTGCTGCCTTAAGCTTCTCCTAGCTCGAACCAAGATATCTTCTCGTCACTTGTTGGCTTCCCCAATCCGTCGCCATGGCCTCCAACGGTGACAAGCCAACCCGTGACGTCAAGAACCACCTCCTCTTTGAAATCGCCACCGAGGTTGCTCATAGAGGTATTATTGCCTCTCGCTCCCACAACGACCATCCCAATGACACTGCTAACCTAGCTACTAGTCGGTGGCATCTACTCCGTCATCAAGTCCAAGGCTCCCGTCACCACTGCAGAGTATGGCGACCGCTACACCCTCATCGGTCCCCTCGACCACCAATCGGTAAGGCTTGGCTTCCCAATGGCTCGGCGCACGTCTTCTGACAATACCACAGGCTGCCGTCGAGGTGGAAGAGATGGAGCCTAATACTCCCGAGCTTGCCACCACTCTCCAGGCCATGAAGGACCGCGGCATCGGCTACATGTATGGCCGCTGGCTCATTGAGGGCGCCCCGCGCGTTTTGCTCTTCGACACCAAGACGGCCTACGGCTACTTGGACGACTGGAAGGGTGATCTGTGGAACGTTGCCAGCATTCCATCTCCCCCTAGCGACGACGAGACCAACGAGGCTATTGTCTTCGGCTACCTGGTAGCTTGGTTCCTCGGAGAGGTATGCTGCATACACCATGCTACTCCCTGTCAACACATATACTAACATGACCAGTTTGTGTGTCACGAGAAATCCAAGGCCGTCATTGCGCACTTCCATGAGTGGCTCGCCGGAGTCGCCCTGCCCCTGACCAAGAAGCGCCGCATCGACGTCACCACCATCTTCACCACCCACGCGACCCTCCTCGGCCGATACCTCTGCGCCGGCTCTGTCGACTTTTACAACAACCTCCAAAACTTTGACGTCGACGCCGAGGCTGGCAAGCGCGGCATCTACCACCGCTACTGCATCGAACGCGCCGCCGCACATTCATGCGACGTCTTCACCACCGTCTCCCACATCACCGCCTTCGAGTCGGAGCATCTGCTCAAGCGCAAACCTGATGGCGTCCTGCCCAACGGCCTCAACGTGACAAAGTTCTCCGCTGTCCACGAGTTCCAGAACTTGCATCAAGTTTACAAGGAAAAGATCCATGACTTTGTCCGTGGGCACTTCTACGGCCACTACGACTTTGAGCCCGACAACACCATCTACGTCTTCACGGCTGGCCGTTATGAGTTCCGAAACAAGGGTGTCGACATGTTCATCGAGTCGCTCGCCCGCCTCAACCACCGCCTCAAGGCTGCCGGCAGCAACATCACCGTCGTCGCATTCATCATCATGCCCGCCAAGACGACCTCGCTCACCGTCGAGGCCCTCAAGGGCCAGGCTGTCATCAAGTCCCTGCGTGACACCACTCTCGTCATTGAGCAGAGCATCGGCCGACGCATGTTCGAGCGCTCGCTGAAGTGGCATGAGGGCGACCCCATGCCTGACGAGAAGGAGCTCATCTCCAGCCAGGACCGTGTGCTCCTCCGCCGGCGCCTGTTCGCCATGAAGAGGCACGGCCTTCCCCCGATTGTCACCCACAACATGGTCAACGATCATGAAGACCCCGTCCTCAACCAGATCCGTCGTGTGCAGCTCTTCAACCACCCCACCGACCGCGTCAAGGTCGTATTCCACCCCGAGTTCCTCAACTCGGCTAACCCCGTTCTTCCCCTCGACTACGACGACTTTGTCCGCGGCTGCCACCTTGGCGTCTTCGCGTCCTACTACGAGCCCTGGGGCTACACCCCGGCCGAGTGTACCGTCATGGGCGTTCCCAGCATCACGACCAACCTCTCCGGCTTCGGCTGCTACATGGAGGAGCTCATCGAGAACTCAAGCGACTACGGCATCTACATCGTCGACCGCCGCACCAGGGGCGTCGACGACTCGGTCAACGAGCTCACCGGCCACATGTTTGACTTTTGCGGCAAGTCGCGCCGCCAGCGCATCAACCAGCGCAACCGCACCGAGCGCCTCTCGGACCTGCTCGACTGGAAGCGCATGGGCATGGAGTACGTCAAGGCCCGCCAGCTCGCCCTGCGCCGCGCCTACCCGGACTCGTTTGGCGCCGAGGACGACGTCGCCGACGAGGACTACATCCCTGGCGTCGAGCAAAAGATTTCTCGCCCCTTTTCCGTGCCCGGCTCCCCCAAGGACCGCGCGGGCATGATGACGCCCGGTGACTTTGCGAGCCTGCAGGAGGGTCGCGAGGGGCTGAACACTGAGGACTATGTTGCTTGGAAGCTTCCGTAAGTGACGCACTGCATATCAAGCGCGAGACTTGATGCATTCTTTTGCTTTGCATGCTAACTTTGAATTGATAGCGCCGAGGAAGACCCCGACGAGTACCCCTTCCCGCTGACGCTGCGCACCAAGCAGCCCGGCACGGGCTCTCTCAGCCCAGCGGCGCCCGCGCCCCTCTCGGACAACAACTAGTAGCGAAGGCGATGACGAGGAGGCGCAGTGGTGGATTTTATCGTGATGGGATAGGAAAAAATCGGGGGTGTACGGGCTTGGTTGGAATGGTTGCTGTGTAGCAAGGGGCGGCTTTTTCTAAACTATGGGGGAACGGGAGAGGGATGCTCTCTTTTGTATGTCTTTTTGTATTAGGTACCTTTTTTTGTTCTACTTACTATTCTCAAATTAAGCGACAACTGCATCTTCACCTTTTGTATGCTAATGGGGACGCTTGGTGATGGCAAGTCCTGGAGCGCAGTCCTGGAGAACTCATCTTGGGTACGTCCGACTTGAAAGGGAGCGAGGTCTTCTTTCACAATGGAGAGAGAGTTTGTTTTGCCAAAATGATATATTGAGAGGAAGGAGAAGCAATGGGCTTCAGCAGCTTTCCACACGTTTCTAATGATCCCATTGCAAGGAGAAATACAGTCATTGAAGCAAGAAGAAGAAAATAAAGGAAAGCCAAACGCTGCGCGAGTACTAGTCTACAAAGCATAATTCTCCGTGTGCAGGAAAATCTCCTCGAGCTCGTCGTCGCCCCAAATCTCCGCCTGCAGGCGCGCCACCGTGTTGGCGACGCCGACGCGCATGGCCGGCGGCCCGCAGACGAAGACGGCGGTGCGCCGACCGAGGATGCCGCGGCCGTCAGCGCCGCCCGTAGCCCACTGCCGCAGCATGTAGCCGAGCTCCGGGCGGCCGTACTCGAGCGACCAGCCGCCGTCGATAGCGTGGGGCACGGGGAACGCGGACCGCATCAGGTTCTTCTGGAACTCGGTCGGCGTCTCGGGGAAGCCAAAGTCGAACCCCGACGGCGGGCCAAAGGTGGACGTCGGTCGCGGGGCGCGGGGCGCGGCGGTTGGTAGGTTGGTGGTGCGTAGGTGTGCGAGCTCCGGGGAGTCCGGCGCGGCGGCGGCGGCTTCGGCCTCGGCGCGGAGGGCGCCGGGCGCGTAGTTGAAGTGCGGTGGGTTCTCACGATGCAGAGGTGGGAAGTGGAACTCGGTGTCTGGGGGAGGAACCTGCGCAGGCTGGTCCTGGTCGAGCTTTTTGTCGACGGGGAAGCCGTTGGCATTGAGTGGCCGTTGCGATTCGTCGTGCTGCTCGAATTGCTGCAGGGACTGCTGCTGCGGGTGTTGTTGGTGATGATGAGGCAGATGCGGTTGAAGGTACTTTTGTGGTGGGAGGGCGGTGATTTTGTCCTCGTTCTCGGCGCGGAGCTCACGCTCACGCTCGGGGTCGCCCTTGGCCTCGTCGTAGATGAGGGCCGAATTGCGCTTAGATGCAACGCCGGCGACGAAGCCGTCGAGCTTGTTGTGTAACAGGTGGGAGAGCTGTCGCTTATGCGACGCCGAGCCGGCGACCATCCCGTTGATGGGCGCTGCCATCTGGGTGTCGGTAGCATTATGGCGATCACGCACTGCCGAGGTGACGAAGAACTTGCACGTCACGCTCTCTGGCGGCGCCGACTCGCGGCATAGACTCAGCTCATCGCGGAACCACTGCATCGAGTCCATCTTCTTCATGGCCCAGACAACCACCACCTTGCGCGTGATGGCCTTGCCGTCGCGCATGCGCTTGATGAGGTTGAGCAGCTGTGACATGACCGACGTGATGCCGCTGCCGCCTGCAATCAGGATGCACGTGTCAAAGGCGGCGAGGTCGCGCCGCATGCCGCCGTAGGGCCCGTCCAGGAAGGCACGGTAGGTGTGGAAGGGCCCATTCTGCAGCGCCGTATCGAGGAGCTTCTTGGTGAAGCCACCATAAGGGCGGAACACCAGGACACAGTCTCGGTAGTCTTGGCCGTATTCCGAGGGGAAGTCCTCGCTGCAGAGGGACGAGATGGTGAAGGGATGATTCTCGAATATGGAAATGGCGGGCATTCGTAGATATACATATTGACCAGGTCGCCAGCGCATCTGCGTAGGAACAGTGACTTTGATGCAGTTCTCAGCCATGAGTGTTACAGCAGCTTCGTCGCCAACCATGAAAGACAGCCGCCAGGGCCGTACCCAGTTGAGACGAAGGAAGCGCATCATGTAGCACACGAACCAGATTGCAAGGCTGGCGTACAAGTAACTCCAAGACATGAGGAAGTTTTTCGTGTGCCAGAATAGTAGAGCGGTGTACACGACGCCGGCTGGGATGTGCAGAATCACAAAGGTCTCATACGCGACTCTGCGGATCCAGGGTAACGATGCCACGCATAGCCAAATGAGGGGAACAATACAGGCGATTCCGGTACCATAGATGATGCCGGTGCCGTCGGGAAAGAGCTTGTAGAATACCTTCATGCCGTCATCTTCCCAAACAGGCTGAATGTAAAAGGGAATCATGTGGACTAGTGCCAGGAACAAGCAGAGATAGCTGAGCCACCGGTGCATGACATTGAGCCTCTCTGGACCGATGCCAATAACAAGGGTCAGCAGGTTGGCCTTCATGCTGGTGGCGATGATCCAAGGCGTCAATGCGACAGAGATCATGCCGGCTCTGACCGCAAGCGGGGGTGATCCGAACTGGATGCTTTGCCAGTACAAAGGCTGCTGGAGAAAGCAATAGAGCGTGACAAAAACGACGGCAATGAAGGAACATGCCAGGACGGCGAGCGAAGAGAAGGTGAAGCGGTACTTGAAAATGACGATGTCAGGGATGGGCCTATAAAAGATCCATCTGAACAAAGCAAGAGTGTCGTTGACGATGCCGACGGAAGAAAAGTGTGCTTTTGGTCGGAATTGCTTCTCGCCAATATTGGGGCCCTCGGGAAAGAATTGTGAGCTTTCTCCGCTTCGAAGAGCCGAGAGAAAGACGTCAGAGTCGACATTGTAAGTTTCTCTGTAATGGTTTTCCAGCTCTTGCTTATAGATGGCTTGGCGGATCTTGTCTTGCCAAAAGTGCCATATACGCACGATGACAACGGACAAGACGAGAGAGAGGGCAAAATATGTCCATCCTAGTCCGTATTTTCCTGATTTGGACCAGGGATCGACGACATTGGCCTGTACGAGACCTGGCGGGCTGGTCGGCGTAAGCGGTATGTTGATGCGTCTCGACAAGTTGGAAGCTGTATTTCCAATTGCACCGCCGATCCAGTGGCCGTAAAAGCGAGCCATTTCGACCGGCGACTTGGACTCAGAAACCTTTGTCGGCGCAAGAGAGATGCATCTATTCTGAACGGGAAGCGTGCGTCGCTCGTGTCGCTATGCGTGCAGTCTGAGCAAAACGCATTTGCTACTGCCCGGTGCAGTGTCCTAGTTAAGCTGTCCAGCAGAGGTTGTCATGTATTCCAGCTTTCTGCTGGCTGGAAATGAAAGGCAATTAAGGCGGCGCGCAAGAAGCCAGGGACGGCCAGATCGTGAATCGTCATGCAAAAAGGATCGAGGTATGGAAAGCGGATAGTTTGGTGGTGCTCTGGGAATAAAGGAATGGGCTAGTTACGATGTGCAGGGTGTGGCTAGACGGAGAAATATACAAGAGCTCTTGACGGCGGGAGGGGCCCCTCAGAGACATGCTGGGAACCGGATGCAGAGGGCAGAGCAGTCAACCAGAGGAGCTCGATCGGACACTAATCTTCAGGGTTTCACTGACGGCGGACACCTTGGCCGGATGCTGGCCAAGTTTGCAAGGTTGCACATGGTGAGGAGCACCCAGGACGAAAGTGACGAGGGCCCGGGGAGCAACATGAATGGCTCCGCTGTGAACCGTCGGGCTATGCATAGCCAAGTGGCCGAGACAGCGAGCGGCTGGGATCACGTTTAGATTGGCTGAGTTGGGAGGAGCTAACGTGATGGATGGTTGAACTTGCTGCTTGGCTGGACGAGGGCCGCAGGGTGCCTGTGACATTGGCAGGGGTCAGGCGAAAGGTGATCGTCACACGAACTCACGGAGTCGGTAGGTAGTTCTGAGCGATGCGGGACGGTGAATGGTAGAGCTGGCGCGGGGCAGAATGTGACGAGGCTTGCATGTGCAGCAACTAGTCGCGGGAATGGTGTGAAGACCCTGTCTTGGTGGGAAGATAGGCTGTCTGTTTGACCAGAGACTGTTTTCGAGTCGATTTGGTTTGCTTGACTCGTAGCATTTAGATCGATCTTAGAGCTCATCTGATTAAGAGGTCACCTTGGGAGCTTTTCGTCGACGAAAAAAGTGACAGTCCTGTAAAGCAATCTTTCTTGTTAGCTGCGAGGAACGTGTACTCGACTGAACGCCCACCGAGATGAGCATCTGGGTCAATTCGTTACACGAGTGGAGAAATGGCTATCCGGATGGGCGGCAGGTAGCCAACGAGGCTGGGTGAGGTGATATTGAGCCATTTAGCGATGAAAACGGGTATCGCCAACGGCTCCAGACGAGGCAAGGATGGATGCAAGTAATGGGTTGATGCTAATGAAGAAGAGGGGGATATTTCAATCGGCAGGTCACAATATTGAGCAAACTGGGGGGTGGCGGGAGCTAACAAACGGGCGGCTATAGCGGCGCTCTGATTCGCCCAGAGTGTCAAGGATTATAGATGGCCACCTGCCAGCCAAGCAAAGCCCTCTGATACTACTCCGTAATTCAAGGAAACAAGAGCTGGCTGACAAGGTTGAGAGAATATTCAATTTCGAATAACTGCTAATGCTGAGTCAACTGACGGAATATAAGCCGCTATTTAGCAGGGGTTGTGTTGTATTATTAGTGCAAGCTACGGGGTACTGTGCACATATCACTGGCGTTTTCTCATGGACTTCTGTTTTTGTAAAACCTCGATCTGGTTATGGGAATCCGTAGCAATTTATCTGGATAGTCATCTTGTAAGAACCAACAAAAAGTTACCAGATAGGTGGTTCGTACGCCTGTTACGCCGAGTTGTATCGCCCCGCCAGCTTCAACAGCGTGACGAGCTCCAGCGGTTTCGGTTAGAACTAACCTACCCCGAGTTCATCTCAACGCGGACAATTCGAACATATTTATTGCATTCAGACTTATAAGAACTCTGAATGTTATGAATCCAGCGACAATGTATTTAGCTAACAAAGGACCAGCTTCTGGCGCAAAAACATGTCGCCATTGACCACGGCATCTCGTCGTCTTCTTAGCCCCACCTCGCCCAGTCGAGTTTTCTACCCCAAGAAGAGAAGCTTGCTCAATTTTCAAGAGTTTCCAATCAGCCTCCCACGCTTCATCTGGCTGTGTTCTTAAACCAACCAGAATCAAATCTTTTAAAGGCCTATTTCCGCATCTAAATCACAACCATGCCAGAGGTAGGACTGTCACGCGCCACCTTTGCGAAGCTTTCACCGCACCCATACCTCCTCGCCAACCTCGAGCCCTCCAACCAAGACATTCCACCCGCGCGAAGCAACGGCCGCGCCCCCGACGAAGCCCGCACACCCGAAGTGAACCTTTCCTCGCTCTCGCACGCCCATGGCAGCTCTCTGGTGAGGATTGGCGACACGACGGCCATCTGCGGCGTCCGCGGCGAGACCATCCTGACGGCCAACATCCCCAACTACCGCGCCTCCAACGCCGCATCGGAGCTGCGCGACTACGACCTGCTCGTCCCCAACATTGAGCTGGCGACTGGCTCCTCTCCCCAGAACCTCCCGGGTGGCCCGCCCTCGACACTCGCTCAGACGCTCAGCACGAGAGTCTACTCGCTTCTACACAGCTCCCAGCTGCTCGACGCGGCCGACTTTCGCATATGGCACACACAAACGGCGGACCTGACGGCGGCTGACGACGAGGAGATGCAGGATGCAGATGCGGATGCGGATGGTGAAGACCAGGCTCAATTCAACAACGAGCGCCAGGTCATTGCCTACTGGGTGCTCTACATTGATATATTCTTCATCTCCCTTGACGGAAACCAGTTTGATGCTGCCTGGGCCGCAACGCTAGCTGCACTGCGGGATACGAAGCTACCGCGAGCTCGGTACGATCCTGATAGCGAGCTGATTGTCTGCTCTAGAAAGGATCCGAAGCCACTGTCCTTGAATGGCTTCCCGATTGCCTGCACAGCGGCCGTATTTACCGGCAAGGAAACGGATCGCCCGACCGAGGGCAAGTACTGGGTTCTAGTCGATCCCGATACGTTGGAGGAGTCGCTCTGTGATGAGTCGCTCACAGTAGTCGCGGATTGCAGCGGAGGAACTACGAGCTTGCTATCCGTTTCAAAACACGGCGGCACTGTCTTGACGCCGAAGCATCTGCGGTCGAAACAGCTGCTTGGCTTTGTCGAGAAGCGGTGGAAGGGGTTCGCCGATGCCATGTCGGTATAGGATAGCATAAATCAAGACTACTATGATACCCAATTGCAGGACCCTTCGAAGAATAGTTGTCCTTGCCTGGGAAAGAAGCTACAAATGTGGCCGGCTGTATGGCCCGACGAAACACAAGCGAATTTTATGTAGTAAAATGTATCAACCATTCGAACCACCCTTTCAGACTTTATTCTAGGGCAGTAGATACCGGCCGACAGCTTACTCTACCACTCATTTCAAATAAAATCGCAGCGCCACGGGCCAGAGGCCGAAGACGCCGCGGAGGATAATTTGAGGCGAGCGGATAGAGAAGGAGAGAAAAAGCCAGGAGAAGTTCCCACTCGACTGAGCGAACTTTGTGGGCGCTGCCAAACAATGGAGCTGCTCGCCTGAGGCAGCACCCCCACTTCACTAAACGACTTTCCACGCCAGAATTTCAACCCAAACTTTTCTCCCTTCTTTCTTTTTCCTCTTCCACCTCGCTCCATCACAGCAGGCCTTGCGCAAGCATGGAATCCCTCTCAGACACTGATTGGGATGTAGTCATCAGCGGCACGGGACTTCAGCAGTCCCTATTTGCCCTGTAAGCTTGGATTCCATCAAAACAGAGGCGTACAGATGTCTACCCCCGAGGAGAACTCTGGATTTTTTTCTGACTGACCCCGTGCTGGGAACGTTCAAAAAGGGCCCTTTCGCGATCAGGCAAGAACATTCTCCACGTCGACGCCCAAGGCTACTATGGGCAACACGAAGCTGCCTTCAGCCTCCAAGAGGTGGACGCCTGGGCTGCCCGGCATGCTTCCCCAGACGCGACTGGACTTTTTCGCGCCGTCGAGGTGACCAAGGCGGAAGATGGCCTGCCGTCGCCGCGGGCCTACAGCCTGGCGCTCGCACCACAGCTCATCCACGCTCGGTCCGAGCTTCTCGGCAAGCTCGTCTCGTCCAAGGCCTTTCGGCAAATTGAGTTCCAGGCTGTCGGGTCGTTCTTTATCTTCCAGCGCGGAACGTCGAAAGACGCGACGATGCCTGTCCTCGCTCGCATTCCGTCAACGCGAGAAGACGTCTTCTCGAGCACAGCGATTCCGGTCCGAGCGAAGCGGTCGCTGATGAAGTTCCTCAAGTTCGTCCTCGCTTACGAGTCAGAGCCGCAGGCGGAACTTTGGAAGCCACACGCTGACAAGCCGCTCGCTGAGTTCCTAGCCTCCCAGTTCAACCTTGATGCTACGCTGCAGTCCTATATCATCACCTTGACTCTCAGCCTCGATGGGAACATTGCGGTCGAAGATGGACTGGCGGTCATCAGTCGCCATCTGAGCTCGATGGGTGTATTTGGCGCTGGCTTCGCGGCCGTCTACCCGAAATGGGGCGGCCTATCTGAAGTCTGTCAGGTGGGCTGTCGTGCTGCTGCCGTTGGCGGTGCTGTGTACATGCTCGGCACTGGCATCACAGGCGTTGCAAAGCGAGAGAACGAGTCAGCCTGGATGGACATTTCTCTCTCCAACGACACGGTCGTGAAGACGAAGAAATTAGTCCGTGGTTCAGAAACCAGTCCTGAAAAGGCCGTGTGCCTGACGCGAACCACAGCTGTGGTTGCAGCCGCCCTGCCAAAATTATTCGAAGCAGTGGTTGAAGGGTCGCCGACCCCGTCCGCCACTGTCATAGCATTCCCTACCGGCTCAGTGTCTGACGGCAATGGACATACTTCAGAGTATCCCATTTACGCTATGGTCCACTCGAGCGACACGGGGGAATGCCCTACTGGTCAATGTAAGTTGAAGACTTTTTCTTACCATCTCCATTTTTGCACCTGCAAACTCTATAGTGTCCGGATGAACAACACTTTATGAATACTTATCTACATTGTCTGACTACAATGACGATCAATCTTCTGACAACCTGATTGACACTATCCCATTGCACCTTTTCTCTGCATTTATTGGCATCGGCACGCTTGCTAACCACATTCGCGTCAGGTATCGTCTATCTAAGCACCATTTCCACAGCCTCGTCCAAGGCGCTCTTGGAGACGGCACTGTTATCACTCTTACACGCCGCTACTGCCGTTGGGGGCCAGGCGATCCCTGAAGTTGTCTATAAGCTGCAGTACGAGCAAGTAGGCGCGAAAACGCCCTCGTTGGACGTGGATGAAGAAGGCATCGTAACTTTCGGCGCTCCAGTGCTAGACTTGGCGTTTCGCGATACCACGCTGCAGCCCGTCCGCCAGGCCTGGGAGAAGCTCACCGGCTTGGCGGGTGAGGAGGCCGACGCCGAGTATTATGTGTTCGAAGACCGCGAAGGCGTAGATGACGAAGACGACGTGTTTGACGGTTAGAATGTATCACGCATGTCCATGTGGATGGGCGTGCATTAATGAATAATATCAATTTTTGGCATTCGCACATTAACTACTTGATAAATTGTGCCATTTCATATGCTGTTAGCTAAACACTTGCATACTGTATCAAAGTCTGTTGTCCCATATTCCCGACGTGATCCACGAAAGTCCGATCACCAGCCAGCCTTGTTACTATATAGTTCTTCCCCAGAAACAAAACTTGCAACTTTGAACTATTGACTTCATTTGTCAAGCCCGCTCGGAACCGTCCTGTTTTCCCCGTAGCAAAAAGTCTGCAAAAAAAAGATCAAGAGTATATGCCAGTTTGTAGTACCGCAATGCAAATTCCCAGTATAAAAAACCCAAACTGCGGAAAAGAAATAGAAACTAGAATTAACACACCAATGAGAAACAGAATAACACAGAGCAATCATTAATTCTGTCCCGACAGGGAGAGCTCGATACCCACGTGAATGGCACCAAACGCCTGCGTACCGTCCGCGTTGTTGTCCTGGCGGACGGAGATGATGCCGCGCGTGGCCAAAGCCAGGACGTGCAGGAACGCCTGCGCCGCGACGGCGCCGTCGTGCTTCATCGGACTCACGATGCGCTCAAATTCGACCCAGCGACGGCGATCTCCAGCCTGCTGGCTCTCCCCGTCCTCGCCGTGCAGGACAGCGCGCTTGGAGGCGTAGTCGAGGAACCCGCGGCTCGCAGCGTCGAGGCCAGCGTACACGGCATCGTCAAAATTGATCACCGCATCCATGTCCATGAACAACGAGTCGAGCGCGGATAGCTCGAGCGTCACCTGGGATGGCGTTGCGGGGACGACAGGGTCGCTGTGGCGGTCGAGGCCGGCAACGAGGTTGGTGCTCCTGTGCAGAAGAGGGCTTGGGGCCGTATTCTGTGCACTGCCGGGGGCGGCCGCTCCGCCGCCGCGGATGGAAGAACCAGGCGCAGCGGAGCCGGGCCTGCTCCAGGGCATGATGGAGGAGGAGTGCTGGTCGGCCATGGCGGGGAGCGCGTCCATGCCCATCTCGAAATAGGAGTCATCTTGGCTGGGGAAGGCTGGCGGCGGGGGCGGTGCCATAGTCTCACCAGCTTGCTGACCGCGGCCCGTTTCAGCAGGATCGTCAAGGTCGTGACGGGGACGGAGGTTACGTTGCTGCTGCTGCTCCTGGGCAGCAGGATCCTCGTCGCCAAAGGCCTCCTCGGACTTGCGGCGGCGCGAAGTTCGACGAGGCGTCTCGGGCTCGGGCTGGCCAAATGCTTCCGGGTTTAACTGCGAGAGGACATTCCATCCGCTGAAGGTGTTGGCGAGGGGATGAACCACGCCGGTCGCGCGGAACGAGAGGCCAACCTCGGCGAGGTCGTTCTGCAGGACAAAGGCGAGGGCATTCTTCTTCGCCTGCGCAGCTGTGGTGCCGTCCTGGCGCTTAGTCTCGCTGGCCATGATGTCGGCGTAATGATTGAGCCAGTGCTTCTGCTGGCTACGCGGCAGGGAAATTACCTCGTCAATCATGGAAACATTTCTGGCGACTCTGCGGCGTTTCGCGTGCGCGGCCTGCTGAACCGTTTCAGTCGTAGTCAGGGTGCCGTTCTCGTCAGACAACACTACTATCCGGTCGTTCTCGTTTGAAGCAGCCTGCGTTGCTGCTGCTGGGAAAGCCTCTGCTTCGGGGAGTGCCTGCTCCTCATTCATCATAAGGAAGTCATCAAGGGGCTGCAGCGGCTGGGCGCCCGAGGCGGGCATGGAGACGTTGGAAGGCATGTCGCCAAAGAATGGGGGCAGCTCCGGCTCTTCCTCGATTGCCTCAATCAGATTGCCTTCGCCGTCAAAGTTCAGACCGATGCCTGCGATGGCGTCAAATTCGTCGTCCTGCGTAGGGATGAAGGCGGGCCTGTCGTCAAAATCATCGCCGAGCTTTGCATAGGGGGAGCTGCTCTGGCCAAGGTGTGCAGGCAGCCGGTAGCTTCCCGGGGAGTGGGAGGATGGCGGGAGTTCGAGATTTATGAGCGAAGTATGGCGGTTGACAGAACCCCTTCTGCTTGTATAGGCCTGTAGCGGAGACATCTGGGAGAACTTTGTTGCAGAGCCCTGGCTCGGAATCGCAAGCCAGTCGGTGTCAATTATGCCTAGATCCAGTGGCGGCAGCTGGCTCATCGGATCAAAGTTCGGGTCGTCTTGTAGAGTAATGCTCACGCGCCTAGGCCAAAGGGAAACAGTAGCGGTAAGTATTTAAGCAAGCGGCAGAGAATGGTGCAGCCGCTTTGGTGGCACTCCGAGGGCTTACTTAGTCTTGGTGCTTGGTAGATCAAGGTGACTTGACTTCATGGCGCGGAAGAAAGTCATCATGTCGCTTTGAGTCTTCTCCGTGTCGGAAAGCAGGTAACCGCATTGGTCGGCAAAGACCTTCGAGACACCATACAACAGGTTGCCCTGGAGGCGCAGAGCGAGAGGAGCGCCAGGATCGAGGATCTTGCCGCAGGCGCGAGGGACGTTGACATCTTGAATTGCCCTTTTGTTGACGCGCTTTTGGTTCGATTTTCCGACTGTTGCGACAAGCCTTGAATAGTGTCAATCGCCTGTAAGTGCGAAAGCTCGTTTGCGGATGCATAGCATACCAGATCGTAGACACGCCATACTGCGTGCTGGTTAAGACTAAGAGGCTTTGGTTAACGAGGAGAAACCGGAAGACTGTATAAGCGCGTGCGTACTTTGGTTACTGTAAAACATTTTGAGGTAAAGCTGAGGGACAAAAGGTGAGGCTGTGGTGTCTACGCGGACGCTCAGAGCTATCGCATGGCGTATCCTAGCAGGAATTTGAAGCTGAAAACGGCGTTTAATGAAGAAGAAGACATGACCAAGAGTCGCGAGAGAGGAAGCGTGTAGAAGTTAATGGTCACCGGTCACGCGTTTGAGACGCGCCGTTTGCACTCTTGTGACGTTCGTCGTGGTTGAGTGTCTGCCAGCTGGCAGGTCAGGCCAGGTCCGTTGGTCCTGCAGCCGACAAACGGTGAAATTAGGTAAGAACCAAGACGAGAGCAGCATTGAAAAGACTCCTTCGATATCATTCCGCATCGTGAAAATTCTCCGTTGCATCATATGCAGTATCACTCCTGTCTGTTCCTTCACGGCCGAACGTGCTCTTATCTCTTACCCCAGATAGTCTTCAGATACCAACGAGGCCGTGCGAACCGCGTGCCCAGAGCACGCAGGTACCAGAGATTATTACCGACAACACTGAGAGATTTTTCATATTCCCAGTGCACTAGCAATTAAGCATAGTTACAAAAGAATTCTATCGTGAAGTTGCGGTGGGTCAAGCCAGGACATCACGGTGCGCAGTCTCGGTACATCTCGGCCGCTGACATCCAGCTCCAAAGTAGTGTCAACATGAAGCCGATATTCAAGGGGTACGAGGCTAGATCCCATCCCAGACGCTATGATTCTAGAGTTTTTATTTCTCTCTTATCTCCTCAAGAACTAGCCGAGCTCGTCTATTCGTTGGGCTCTGACCGAACGCCCTCCTCCCCACTTCTGTCGGTTGGGCCCGTCGATCTACGAGTCAAATTCACGGTCGACCCTTGTTCGCAATGGACAACTCAGACTATTCAATTCCTTCTGACGCTTCTGTCCTCCTCAAAATTGAAATGGCTACCCGGACTTCCGCCAGGGCGCAGGCCACGGCCGAGTTCCTAAGCGCCCCGTGGCGGTTCGCCACGAGACAGACCTACAACAAGGAAAGAAACCAAGACGGTGTGATTTCTTTCGCATTAGCCGAGAATGTGCGTGAATGTCCTCGCTAAGAAGAGTGTCGGTGAAGCTCAAAGTCTTCACCAAGTGCTCACCAATTATGTGGGATAGAGACTCGTTGTTCAGGATATACGAGACTTTGTCAATCGCAATGTAAGTCTCCGTGCATTTAGTCGGTGTACACCACATCTCGCTTACAACAGCACAGGTGACGTTCGAGGTCAACGACTTCAACTATGGCACCACATCTCGCTTCCCGAAAGCGCTGGCGGCGCATCTCACCGAGTATCTGCACCCGAGCCTCCCCATTGAGCCGGAGCACATCCGCTCGACAAGCTCCTGCACCGCCTTGCACGACATGCTGGCGTGGGCCGTAGCCGACCCCGGCGACGCCATTCTCCTCAACCGTCCCATCTACGGGCGCTTTGAGCTCGACTTTACGAACCGCGAGCAGGTCAAGATCCTGTATGCCGACACTGATGCCGAGACGTGTCTGCAAGTCAGCGCCATCCAAATGTACGAGGAGGCCTTGGCCGACGCCGCAGCGTCCGGTATCAAGGTCCGCGCCATCCTCATCGTCAACCCCAACAACCCTCTCGGTACGTTCTTCTCCCGGTCCCCGTCTTCGGCGATCCAAAAAAGATTCTCATGCACTTACATGGCCAGGCCAATGCTACCATCGCGACACGCTGGTGGCCCTCATGAAGCTCTGTCAGCGCCACCAGATCCACCTCATCAGCGACGAGGTCTACGCGTGCTCCGTCTTCGACTCGGACGAGCCCGAGGCGACGCCCTTCACCTCAATGCTCTCCATCGACCCGCGCGGCCTCATCGATGCCGACCTGCTGCACATCGAGTACGGCTTCGCCAAGGACTTTGCCGCCGGCGGCATGAAGCTCGGCGCGCTCGTCTCGCGCAGCCAGCCCGTGCTGCGCGCCCTCGACTCTCTCATGCGCTTCCACACGCCCTCCGGCCCCGTCCTCAACATGGCCTGCGCCCTGCTCGAGGACCGCGCCTGGTGCCGCGCGTACATTGACGCCATGCGCCGCCGCACCAAGGAGGCGCACGCACATGCCGCGAAAGCGCTGCGCGCCGCGGGCATTCCCTTCCTCGCCGGCTCTAACGCCGGCTTCTTTGTCTGGATCGATCTCTCAGCGCACCTGCCGGAGGATCTCGACGGCGAGGCCAATGCTGAGTTTGCGTTTGCCAAGAAGGCCCTCGCCGCGGGTGTCTTTGTGCAGCCCAAGGAGGAGCATGACAACAAGGCCGGCTGGTTCAGGCTCGTGTACACCCAAGACCCAGACATCATCACCGAGGGCATCCGAAGGTAAGTTTTGTAGCAGATAAAACTGCATGGCAGCTACTAAATCTCGTCAACAGACTCAAGAGCGTCATGAAGTCGGCGTAGGTTGGGGAAAAGAAAGAGACGGGAAGTTTGGAAAGTTCAAAATCATGACCGTAGACTTCGTGTTTATAATCTATTCTCTATGCTATATACATGATATTATATATACTATATATACAAAACTGGCTGTGGTTTTGGGTAGTCCCCACGTGTCCTGTTTCTATGTGTCTACCCCCTCATCCAGAGACTGCTGAGACTGCTGCTGTGATTGATGATGCTCCGGTTTGAGAGGCCGCTGGAGAAGGTCGCGAGACGGGTATCCGCCTTAGGCTCGGATCCGACGACGGCGCCGGAGTCGGCGGTGGCCTCGGATTCTCCCGGTCCCAGAGGGCCCGTCTCTGCGCCTCGTTCCTCTCCTCTACGGATTTTTGAGGCTCCGACAGCGACGCTATCCACAGCTGCATCCGATTCCTCTGCGCAACTTCCAGCTCCCAGAGATCGTCCCACGAAGGTGAGCTGCGAAGGGGTACTGGGCCATCATGTTAATATATACTTTCACCGAGTGTCATTAACCACATTGCACTTACAGTCGAGTGTCTCGCTGGGTGGCCGCGGCCGGCGCCGTCGGAACCACGAGAGCTTGCTGCTTTTGCTCCTCACAAACATAAGGCAACGGTCCACGCTCGCCGCGTCCTTCTGGCGGGTCTCGTCGCGGCCTGAGTGAAATAGCGAGTTGAATCGGGAGAAGACTTGGTTTCGGAAAATGAAGTCGTGGCTGAGGATGATGTCGCACGGTAGGTCTTCTACGACGTGCAGGTCGCAGATGAACGTCATCATACTCGACGCTCTCCTCCCGCGCCCTGTGAGGTGCGACAAGCCAGACAAAAAGCTTCCGTAGGCGTCATAGTCTACCTCGTGCAGCGACGGCAGCGGCGGCACGTCAAACTGCAGCTTGGCGTCCAGCACCATGCCGTCCGTGAGGATCGTCGAGCCGTCAATCAGCTCAACCCGCGACCTGTACTTCTTGCCACGATGAACCTTGAATCCGTTGCGGCGAGCAAAATCGCCGGAGACGAGCATGAGGTCGGAACCCGTGTCGGGAAACGCGGACGCGCTGGCGCCGTTGACAGCGCAGCGGATGCGTGCCGCCTTGGGCGTCTCATTGTCCAGGAGGAACAGGCGCTTGCCGCGTCGGAGGCACGGGCGGACGACTTGGACAATGCGGTGACTGTACAGCGTGAGGGTCTCCGTCTCGTCGAGAAACGCGCGACCCAGAATCACGTCGTGCAGGCTCTTGCGCAGCACGTGAAACTCGCATCGGTGGGAGCTGCTGCCCCTTCCCTTGAACTTGAAGCAGCCGGTAACACGACCGATGCTATGCGCGACGTTGCCACCCATCAGCGGTATCGAACAGACGCTGGTGGTGGTGTCGATCTCAAGGTTGTGCCGTCGCGCGAATGCCTCAGAGACGGCGTTGACTGCGGAGCCCCAATCCGGGAGGGCTCGAACGGGAATACGGCCGAGGGTGCCCCGAATTTCGGGCGTTCGGATGCCGCAAACGCGGTTGCCGTCTGGGGACCAGACCATTGTGTCGGATTGGTAGTCAATGCAAGGCTGCTTATGACAGCGCAGGATATGTTGCTTGACGTCTGCGTAACGCCGAATTTTGCAGCCAGGTGTGCCGCACTTGTAATGGCGTTCGCCATGGTCTTCGTACGCGTAAAGGCCATTCGCTGTGAAACGAGGTTCTATGTGTATGACCTTGGGAACGATGTCGTCGTGTAGCGCATGCTTTGACATGGGTATGCTTGCGTCTGCCGCCACTTGTGTGAAAACTGCTGTATCAGTGGCATGTGTAGATACCGATTCTTGTGACTGTCGTAGGCTGTTAAACAGTTCCTCGATTACCGTAAAAACTGATGTATCAGTGGCAGGTGTAGATACCGGCTCTTGTGACTGTCGTAGTCTATTAAACAGTGCCTTGATTGCTTGCATAATGCCTTCGGCCGGTCGGCAGCGGCGCTCTGTTGGGCCGCCTGCCAACTGGCGAGAGTGTTGCCCAGCTTATTGGGAGACTGCTTTGCATCCAAGAGACTGGGTTGAGATGTTGACTGAATTTATACCTCAATGAAGTGAAGGTCCCTCAAAAGAAAGTGCCGAAATGCGCAGGAATTAGTGTGACCGTGCGGTGGGTGGTACTTTTGCGAATGGGCTTGGACGGTGGCGGAGGCGGAGGCAAATGCAGCCGACTGGTGCGGCTGATTCATTGTGACTACATAGAAAAAGTGATTGGGCAGCAGCCAGCTGAAGTGCGCCTTGCATACTGCCATGCTGCAGGTCTAAGGGGGTGTAAGAACGGTGGCTGAGGCTGTGTTATGACGGTTAGTGAGCCCGAGATTCCATTGGGCAATGAGGTGATGGACTTTGGAAAGTGATGCTTTCGCCGGCAATATCGGGGTACTCTAGCTTGCAACGCTGCGAGAACTGAGTTACAGAGCAAGGTTGTGGTCAATTAACAACTACGAACGATTCAGCGTTGCCATAACTGAGCACCCAGAGACTACAGCTGGAGAAAATGGATGTCGAAAATGGCACGGGGAGAGAGGGATTCCCACGCCTGGCTCGTAGGATGGCAGAAACGCCAGACTATGAGACGTTTGTCTTCCGCAAATTCGATCGGCTCAGTGCGCGGAATCTGCTGCATCTCGAGAGCAAGCTTGCCTATCTTGAATGGCAGCTTGACAAGGCAGATGAGCAGGCCGCGGCTAGTCCGGACAATGAGACGCTCCGTTCCCTACGCGTCTGGGAGGCTTTCGAAGAAAATTCCAAACACGCAGGTCGGCTTGAGCAGACTCGGATGAAGATCGCCGAAGACATTCGCGAAACGCTGAAAGAATATCGTAAGATTTGCTGCATAGTGTCGTGATGAGCTCGATGCTAAGAACTGTAGAAGAGGCACTGCTCCGGCAAAACAAATTCGCTTCGCTGGAAGCACCCAAGAAGCGGGCTCTCAGAGTCGCCGAGCGTCAGTCATACAGCATCGTGAGCGATCCTTTTTCTGGCACCAAGAAGCATCGGCCAATCCTAGGGGGTCTTGCGGAGAAGAGGCTTCATAAAGAGAATCACCGCGATCTTGTTGGGATCCGACAGCAAGCCGACAAGGACTTGCTATCGCGCTTCCTTCAGGAACACTGGATGTTCCAGGTATTCTGCACCGTACCGGATATTTCGTTTCATGACCTGATAATTGAAGACGACTCAAATAGCACAGGAGACGGAATATATAAACGAAAACCACGTTGCGTGGGTAGCGGCCACTGTCAGTACGGTAATTGCGGCGGTCCTCTTGGTGGGGGCCATTGTCGTCCTGAGGCTTCTAAAGCAGGAGAATATGCAGCTGGGAGTTATTGCAATGTTCATGGTCTTTTTTGCCATTAGCGTTGGCATTTTAACGAATGCCAGGAGGACCGAGATATTTGCAAGCACCGCGGCGTATGCTGCAGTGTTGGTGGTCTTTATATCTTCGACACCGACAGGTGCAAGTGCGTGTCAAGGTCCAGCATAGTGACTGTTTATGGCATGTTGAGGCTGAGGCATCTAGTGTGATTGGGTGTAAATGCGTTGTCTAATAGCAGAAAGTGTCGTCATCGATTCCGACTGTTGATGAATGGCACTACTAGTTAGTCAAGGGTAGCATTGGTAGAGCGGAGTCGTGCGAGCTACGGAAGCCGCTGGGAGCTGACTTGTGTGAAGCAATTGATTGGAACATGATGGTTGTGGGAGGTTGTTGATGAAATTAGGCGTTGTCCAGGGTTCAGGGGTTTGCTGTGGATTCGAGGGATGATTGACGTTTTCGGGAGGGGCCGGAGATGGTGAAGACTTGAAGATCAAGACAAACACAGCGAACTGCGGCGCTCGGCTCTCGCACGTAAGCCTACTATCGGCGGCATCGGAGCGCTGAAGATCACGTGACGAACTTTTGTTGCGAGAGCCCTGGTTCGCCCGGCGCATGAGGAATAACAGGGTTGCAATGGTTCCCATTTTCGAGGTTCTGAGTTTGGGTGAGGTACTGAGCTGTTACAAAAATCTAAACAATCGTCTGTGTCGCGCATCCATCTCTTCTTGTTTTCCCCTTTACCTATTTTTTTCTTTGGCAACGGCGCCATCGGGTAGATCGTCAGCCGCCGCATAAATCTCTTGGGCGATCGAGCTGAGGGCGTTGCCTGCCGCCTGTAATCGTGCCTTCGGATACCTGGTAATTAAACAGCGCCAAGAAAGGCCTGACGAGCACCGTCCAGGTACCTGTGCAGTCTGCCAAGCGCCAACCTCCAGTCTACAGAGGTACCTCGTAGGACAAGGTACAGAGCACTCTGCCAGGGTACCTACCCGGTTTCTTTGCCCTTTTGGCTCGGCAATGCTCTCTGAACATCCCGGCAGGCAAAAATCTCCGGTGCCCCTCCCAATCCATCAGCAAACAAACACCCAAGAGAACAGAACCACAGTTAGCCTGAATCGTCCCGGTAAATCGTTATATCATTATCCATTAACAACGCTTGTTTGAGAGGGGCGACGAAACCCATCTGCCGACGTGAATCGTCGTCAAGGCGTCCGAGCCGCCGCCGTCCGCCATGGACCCCAACGTCAATGCCTCGTCCTATGCCAGCTCGGCTCTGGGTTCCACGGCTGCCTCGTCCGTTGCGTCCACGTCGCCAACCGCCCATGTCGATGTCGCCGCCAGTCCCTCAACATCCACTACCGCACCCGCGCAGCCTGACAAGCCTGTTATCAAGCGAAGAGCCGCCATCGCTTGCCGCGCGTGAGTCTAGTCCACCGCCCAAAATACCACCGTCCCTGTGAGACCAGCGTTGGATGCTAACCGCCCTTGCCCGCCCGAACAGTTGCCGTCGCCTGAGGAGGAAGTGCGTCCATGACAAGGGGACCGCGCCATGCAAATCATGCCGAGAAAGCGGCTCAGAGGTCGCCAAGGAGTGGTACGTCTATCCATCGCCTTGCGCGATACCACTAGCACTGGATATGCCCTGGAAAATATCTGATGCTGATATTACCCCACCATCCACAGCCAGTTCCCATCTCGTGGCCAGCCTGACCTGGACCGCGACTATCGCCACCCTCGCACCAGAGCCGAACGGCTCAAGGGCGCTGCAGCGAAGGCAAAGCGTCCAGAGCAACCTCCTGCCGACTCGTGGGATGGCTTGCCTCCCCTTGACGAGCTTGTCGATGGCGTCAATCGTTTCACACGCTATTACTTCCAGCTCGGCTTTCTCCCCAAGAGACAGTATCCCGAAAAGCTACGCATGAGCCCTCACTCATGCAACGTTTTTCTTTTGCTCAGCATACTCAGTGTCTCCGCCCGCATGACTCCGGCTTTGTGTATTAGATATGGCACTGGCGTCAAGGCCGCCGAATTTTTCATGGAACGTGCCTCTCGCATAGCCCTGGAAAGCGTATATGCCGAGCCCTCGCTCGAACTGTGTCAGGCCTTTTACCTGCTTAGCATTGCTCAGCACGGGAGCGGTCTGAAAAACAAGAGCTATGTGAGATGCGTCGCGCCAATTTAGCTTGCCGTATGATGCTAACTGACACGACGTAGATGAACATGGGTGTCGCTGTCCGCATGGCTACTCTCATGATGCTGCATCGAGAAGAGACATACAAATTAAACAACCCAACCCGGGAAGCAATCATGGTAGCCGAGTCGGCTCGTCGCACCATCTGGATGCTCCACAGCCAGGACAATCTGCACTCCGGCCCCCTTTCGCCGGTAGCTTTGTCCGCTTCCGACATTACGACGCTCCTCCCCTGTGACGAAGACGACTTTGCCAATGGTGTTCTGCCACGCTCCCGCGCTGCATTAGCCGGAACCCAGCCCGCAAGAGACAACCCGTCGCTCTTGAGTGACAAAAATCGGTCTTTGTTTGCCACTCTCATGCAAATACACAACCTTTGGGGAATCGTCGGTCGACGCGCTGTTGGTGATAGTCGCAGTTCGAATCCATGGGATCCTGATAGTGAGTTTTCGAAAATGGCTACAACGTTGAGTGAATGGGAAGCCTCTCTTCCACCGAGTCATTTATTCAGCCGTGACTTGCTTCGGCGGTACAAGAATGTAGGGGAAGACTTAGCTTACCTCTGCGTCACCATGATGACGAGACTGTGCAACATTGTGCTTCGACGCCCTTACCTTGTCGACTTGATACAGCGCAAAGAGACACGACAGCAGACATTCTTTTCAAATTTGTCCCTCGAATTGTTTCGCAATGTGCATTCGCTTTATCAACAAATTGACGCCCAATTCACGGACCGAACAGCTGACGAAAGCGTTGGTGCACAAATCGCTTCTTTCTGCGTTTACAGCTGCGGTCTTTTCTCTACCTACCTTTGCAGATACCCAGAAATCTGCCCCGATACTTCGATCGCGGAAAAGGGACCGGAAATACTGAATCGAACGATCACTATTCTTAATGAAAGCAAGCAAGTTTGGCCACTGGCTTCCCGTTGGGCGGAATCGTTGGAGAACTTCTCTCGCAATCCTAAGGCGACATTGCTTGCGACAGAGGGTAGTATGGATGACGGCAAGGACCCTATCCCGCGAGCCATCAACACTTTGCCACCGCCCATTTCCAAGTCTGCCGAATCCGCTGCTGCTGTCGCGGCTATGCCGGACAGAGCACTCCCAGTCCCAGGCACGCAGCCAGGTTCGGCATCGCCCTCAACAATAGGTGTCTCTCGCAATGACCATGGTCAAGGCCCACTGGCTCCGAGCGCTCGGGGACAAGTACCAGCCAACCCCCCTTACGCGGTTCAGATGAGCCAACCACATTCATCGCCAATGCAACACCATCAATCACCGCAAAATCGCTCCTACCTGAGTCAATATCAGACGAGCCAACCACCGCAACCTAGGTCCGATATACATTCGGCACAGTTTCCATTTGAGCATCACCACAATCCGGGACCAATACTTCGACCAGTGGCCAGGCCGGCCAACAATACTCCTGCACCATCGTTTCACCAACTATCACAGGCTGCCGAGATGGCTCCGCGCTGGCCGCTGGCCGATGGCCTAGGATCGACTTCCTCACCAGCAAGCCTAGGTCGCCGGCCGACCCAACCTGATGGCGCGGGCATGCTGATTCGGTTTGGCAACTTGCCCTTGCAGCCGCATCCGCAACAGCCTGGCTACATGGCTAGCGGCCTCATTATGGGCCCGGACATCTCCGGTATGCCCTCACAGCAGCCCTCGCTGTTGGACGGATTCGAGAACGAGCTGCTCTTTCAGTTTGACGGCGAGCACGACCCCCACGTGATGCCATTTGACCAATGGCAACCAACCAACATTTACACATATACACCGTACGATCACTTAATGGATACTACCACGTAGGAGTGGTACGCCAGGGGGCACAGCTCTTGGAGATGAAAGAGTATGAAGGCCAATTTCTTTTCTCGATTCGCACATTGTGGCATTGTCCAGCTATTTTTGTCACATCTCGTTCTACATTCTCCTTGTAATTTTTTTTAAGCGAACATAACATGGGCGAGGAGTTGGGGTGTTGGCATTTACCCTTGCTTTATACGTGTATACGGACCGATACTTACACATACGTTGCTAGCCACTACATACATGGGTTATTCTAATATTCACTAATATTCAATACGAAAGAGTTGCGTATTAGCTAGCGGTCGCCAGAACTGTGAACGCGGAGCAGTAACGCGGCTCACACGGGTTGACCCAGACGACAGGGCTCCATTAGCAGCCACAATAAGAGTCTTTCACGGTCTTGCGGATTCACGGATTCAGATTCATGGGCCCAGGGGAAAAATATATGTGACATGAGATTCACTTGATTCTCTAGTCTATATTGTCTGCAGTTGTTTTCCTTTGCCTTGGTCACGTTTCCGCCCTTCCGCTGTGCTCCTCGCTTGCCTCATATACCTCGTTATGATAGGGAAAGACCAAACCTGACTCGGAAGCGAAAGACGCAAGGAGCTTCAAAACATACTCCCCGTTTCTGGTCTTGGTTCCAGGACCGCTGCTTTGTACGGATCGGATCCCACAACAGGGTAAAATAGACAATAAAATAAGGGGGTGCTAGCACAAAGCTTTGAAAAAGAGAAGCAAGGTGTTTCTTGTAAATCAACAACCAGAATTAAAATAAAAAAGGGGGGAAACAAGATACGGAAATTGTCCAGCCACCAGTACTCCCGTAAAAACTCTTTTGATATCCTTCTCTACATGACTTTTGAAATTGGCCACCCGGTCAAATCGGGTAGACATACATGAACCATCTCTATTCCATCGAAAATGCCGGACTGTTGCACTTGAACATGAATAAATAAAAAAATAACATCAAGGGGAAGGGGAAGGGGAAGGGGAAGAGGGGTAAATGGGTTGTATTCTGGGGAAACAAAGAATTGAGATTCTAATGGCGTGATATGTAATGAGATAAGATGGGTGATGCGTCGTGATAAGGGGTATTGCTCCAAGGGAAATGTTGTGTCGAGGGGTCTATATACACGTGAAAGGCGTGGCGATCGTGGGCTATGCAGTGCTGTGATAATGGGGGAAGGGAAGGGGTTAGTCGTGGTGTTGGGCAAAAAGCGGTCGTGGCAGCAAATTAAGACGACATGACGTTCTGGCTACCACCCAGCTGGCGCTTGACTTGCTCACGGGCCCAACGAGCAGTCTCGATGGTGCGCGGGGAGAAGTCGCGGTTCGTCTTGGTCTCCTTGATCATGGTGGTGAGCCAGCTCTGACGGAAAGCGTCCACAAGCTCGCCGTTGGGGTAGGCGTCGGCAAGATCACTGTATGTATTAGCTTCAGTGTCACGGCAAGACTGAGGCAGAGTACTTACCCAATAACGCCCATGCATGAGCGCAGCAGGCCTTCGCTCTTGGTAGAGTCACTAGCAATCACACCAAGAAGCTGGAAGATAGTGGGCACGTATTGCTGGAGAATTTGGGCTACAAGATGTTAGCATACTCATTTTCTTGTGTCTGGTGTATTGGCTTACTCTTGTTGCTCGATTTCATAGCGCCAATGATGCCGCCCCAAGCATCAGTGATGCCCTCACGGAGGGAAATGACGTAGTCAAACATCTCGTAGGGGCCGTCAGGGGTGGCCGTTACGGTAGCGGCCTGCTCAAGGACCTGGGCTACTACGGACAAATAAGTCTCAAAGTGGCCAGTGATGGCAGAGGCAATGTCGCCAAAGCATTGGAGAATAGCGGGCTTGAACTGGTTGCCAAGCGTTTGGCTCTGTACTCTGGTTAGCACCTCGATAGTACATAATGTGGAGGGATACGTACTCTCAGGTTGTTGAGAAGGTAGTTCATGAAGTTATCGCAGTACGGCTGGCTCTGTTCGCCCAAGGATCGGGTAATGTCGCTGACCAGGCCGATAGCCATGGAGCAGAGACTTGCCTCTTCTTGGTTGCCGAGAGCGTTGTAGAGGAAGGGGGAGAATGCCTCCATGTACTTGACAAAGTCCTCTTCAATGGCAGTGGAGAGAGCGCTGATGACGGCAAAGACGGCCTCGGGGACACTGGACTTAGCACCAACTGTGCTAAGGATTTGAAGGAGAGCCTGCATGATCCGGTCGCCTAGAGGAGCAATTTCCTTCTCCAGACGGGCCACTATAGCCTGAAGAACGGTGCAGAGGCTGTTCTGCATTTCCTCTAGAGTAATCTTGTCCTCGACACTGACGACCTGCTGCTGCAGGGGAACAGTCTCCTCGAGACGCTTGATAATGACGTCAGAGAGCGAAGCAATAGCCTGCATACTGTCTGTGGCAGAATTTTGGACAAAGACGTTGAGGACTTCGTAGGCAGCGGTGCGCACAGCAGTCTCAGCATCGGTGCGGGCAGTCATGTCAAGGAGCGAGCTGACGGCGTTGTTGAAGTGAGGAGTAATGGGGTTGGAAGAGACACCAAAGTCGCCGGCGAAGCGCTCAGCTAGGTTCATGAGAGCCCAGCAACAGGAGGGAGCCATCTTCGCGTTTCCTAGAAGACCCTTGAACAGAGACTCGATGAGAGTGGGCAGGTGTTGCTGGGGGTCAATAGCCTCCGAACAAGCTTCGGTAACACGACCCAGGGCGTAAGCTGTTGAGTCACGGACTTGAAGGGACTGATCGTCCATCATTGTGATGAGAATGGGAAGCGCCTGCTTGACAATGGGGTCAAGGACCTTCTCATCAGGGCCTTCCATGATGGCACCAAAGGCGGAGACAGCCGCATCACGGTGATGCCAGTCTTCAGCACGGAGGTTGGCCTCGACAAACTGTAGCACAGGGGTGATGATCGTAGCGCCGACGGCCTGGGAGTACAGCTGTAGACACTGATAGGCGGCCCTGGACAGGTTGTATTCATCGTCGGTAGCGTCCTCGTCTTGCTTGGTCAGGAGCTGGAGGAGGACGGGGATGACCTCGGGAGCGGCAACCCGAGCAAAGTTGTAGAAGGGACGAGCCTGTTCGGAGCTGTCGACCTGGGCGTTATCATCCTCGATGGAGATCTCCTCCTCACAGACGGTGCTCCAGAACTCGACAGCAAGCTTGGCAACATCTTCATCGTCAGACTTCATGCCAAGAATGGTGAGGCCGAAGAGGGCCTTCTCCATGTAGAAGCGCATATTCTCGTAGTAGAGAGCCATGATTCTGTTAAGACAGCCAAAGGCACCCTGCTGGATGCGAGAGTCGGGGGCCTGGGTGGCCTCGCAGACGACCTGCATGATGTAGTTTCGTTCGCCTTCGTGCTTGAAGTTGTTGTGGACGAATTCGAGGGAGTCGCTAAGGGCGGTGATGGCGGCGAGACGGACTTCTTGGTTGGCCTCTTCCTTGCGGGCGCCCTGGACGACGGCAGTGAGGATGGCATTGGAGTGTTGGCCGAGGGAGAGGCGGAGGTCCTGATCTTGGCTTTCACAGATGTAACCGATGGTGGTGAGAGAGGATTGTTTTTGGTGGTCAGCGCCCTCGCTAATGTTCTTGACGAGCGCAGTCATGAGCTCTGGCCATTGGTTTCGGGGCAGCTCGATGGCGGCGATGGAAGAGATGACCTGGGCGGCGGCGTTGCCGGCTTGGGCGTTGGGGGAGGCGAGTGTCTGGAGGGTCAACTCCTTGACACGGTTCTTGGTGTCATTGTCTGTTTGCTGGAGCCACTTGGCCTGAAGCTCCTGATGACGGGCAAAATCTCTGGTTGTGAAGGCGTTCTTGAGGGCGATACCGGCGGCGGCTCGGATGGAACCCTGCGCCTGTTCGTTGGCGAGTTCCTGGACGAGGGTCGCGAGGTAGAGCGGCTGTCGAGAGCGGTGAGCATGTGACTGGGCAGGGGCAAGCGTACAGAGAGCGGTTGAGGGGTAGCTGGAGGGCCGTTACTTACAAAGTTGCTCTCGGCAGCTTGGGTGAGCTGTTGCTCGGCTGCACTTCGCAGCGCCGCATCTGTTGGAGACAAGCGAGTTAGAGAGGGATGGGGTCAAAAGGACTCGCAGCAGCAAGGCTGCCCGTGATGGCAGCGAGGGTGGAAGCGTGCGTTTGAGCATGGAGGGGGTGGACCATAACGTACCGGGCGACAGCGAGTTGGCGAGCACTTGGTTAATTTCTGCGCTCGACATGATGGCAAGAGGTTACGAAAGTCGACATGCGGGTATAGAAAAAAAAGTCCTCTATTTCGGCAGACGGGCGAGGAGAGAAAGGAATGGATGGAAGAGAGGGCGAAAGGAGGAAATGAAGGAAGTAGGAAAAAATAGAGACGGGACGCCCAAAGCGGAATTGGGGGGTTGATGGTGCAGCAGGAAGAGAGGGAGTTGCTGGTGGAAGCTGGGGGAGGAGGAGCTGGGTCAGCACTGGAGGTACTTGAGAGGCTCAGACATTTTGCGGGTATTCGCTGCCAAAGAGAGGCCTTGACATAAGTACCGTTTCCACTTTAAACGCAGCAGGATGCCAGGGGCATTTTCTGCTGAGGCAGCCACTGCTATGTAGGCGCTGTGGGTTGGGTGTTTAGGGGGTCTACAGGGCGTGAGGCGCTGCAACGACGAACTTGGTGTGTTGGACGGACGGTATTTACCAGGTAGGTGGGTAGTGCAAAATGAAAGTGTACGTGTTTGAATTTGTATACTTGTTTTCTCCATTTGAAATCCCATTTATCATCATTCTGTAGGGACAAGTTTCTTCGCAAGCAATCGATCACAGGGAGAAAATCACTGCCGGCTCTGCCCCAGAAAGAACCCGGCAACCCTCGTTCGCTTCCCCAGGCCGCGACGACTGGGGCGTCGCGAAGGAAACGTCGAGCGGCAGCACAACGGCCGCTGACCTTGTTAGGGAACTGGTGGTATAAAGGAACTGGCCCTCTAAAGTTACTCAGGTATATTAATAGAAGCTGAGTTCTTAGAAGTAACAGGTGGCAGTAATGTGAGGCGAACCTCCTTATTTACATGAGCGCTGAGGCGACGTAATTCCACCGCCTTCGATGGCTGTGAGAGGGCTGCGGTATGGTACCACGCGGTGGCCAAAACACATCGCCGGTGCTCTAACAGAGGTACCAGAAAAATGGACGGATTTCCCTTCACAGAGCGCCAATAAAATTCTAAATTTATTACTATAAGACTCTATAGGTATCGGTGTGTATATCTAAGTAATTTTATATGGACTTTTTGCGTTGCATTGTGGTATTATTGCTTGTTAGTCCAAGCTATTTCTTAGGCACCGGCGATGTATCTCGGCCACCGCGTGGGTACTTCTCCCACCAGCCGAAGTCGCGGGAGGACAATGTACCTGCCTTGCTCCGTGGCGCAGGGACCGAAACAAAACACGGCACGGTGCAAGCCAGCCTTCCAAGGCACCACCCGTCATCGCTAACCGCCTGTCCACGCGACGGCACTCCCGATTTGCTCTGCACGGCTGTGTGCAGAGATCTACTAGATCTTTCTTTTGTCTCCCAGGTCCATAATCAGCCTTGGCGAGAAACCAAAGTCGTTGGCCTTCCACTCTCTTCTCCGTTGTTTTCAACTTGGAAATTGCAATGTCAACAACAATGAGGGGCACAGCGGGACCTCTCCTAGCAACCGAGCCAGGGCATGTCAGATTCCATCATCGCACTGTGTTTTGTGCGCAGAGAAGCACAAAGAGCACAGTGATCGTTACGTAAATCACACCGTACTGCCGCGCGAAAAGTGTCTCGGCTGCGAACTGGGGGTCCTGGTTTAAGTGGTGAGAAAAGTGCGCTACACCTTTCACACTGTAAACCACCACAGCCGCACAGTGCACGCACCCAGTGCACAATTGATTGACTACTGCTAGGTACGTAATGCACCACAGTGTCCATACCTAGGGATTATGTGCATTAATCCTTGCACTAGCCCATCGTGCACAAGGTACCATCAGCCTTATGCCAGGCTTGCACATCTGCACAAGTCTATCCGTTCGATCGCCTCTATTGAGGCGAAACAGCAACGCGACCACAATAATAATACTGCAGCCCTCTCGATTGAATTGATTTATCATTCTATTCATGCGACTACTCTTTGCTCCTTCCTGACTATTCGTACTCACAGATAAACCCCCGCGAACCCCCTACCTATACCACCCGATGTAATAAGAAGGCAATCTGACTTCCCCATATCTCTCAAGTCACCCATGCCTCGGCGGCGAGTACGGAGGCGGCGGATCGTAGCCGTTTGGGATAAGCAGCTCCGGATCATCCCATGCCTCCCCCTCCGACTCAGCGTCCCTCTCCGACACTCTCGGCTCCTGGCCGTAGCGAGCCGGGGATGACTGCCGCCGAGCACCTTGCACCTGCCTCTCCCCATGATACGCGCAGCGCCTTACGTTCAGCGTCTGCGGGGGCGTCTCCGCCCGTGTAGGCCGCTGCCGCCGCCGCTGCCGCCGCGGTTGTTGCCGCGGCACCTCCTGCCTCTCTCGTTCTCTGGGGCGGTCGCCGACGTCGTTCGGGCAGGGGTCGGTGGCCGGCCGCCACCCGTCGCTCTTGCGGACCCAGTACGGCTCTCCGCGCTCGTCCTTGTCGAGAAACAGCGCGTCGTTGTATACGCAGTCGTCGTAGGGAGGTGCTCTCCGCATCTGAGAGAACCTCGTTTCACCGCAAGAGCACGAGCAGAAGCGGCACGAGCAGTCCCGCACTCGGTTCCTGAGTTCCTTCATCTGGAGCATCATGACGCCCCGGGTATTGCCCGGCAGGGGCAGGAGATAGGTGATGAGCTTTATGCACATATTGCTTTTTGTTTTTTTTTTTTCACAAAGCCGACAACGTAGATGATGAGCTAGCGGTTCATCGCTGTCCGGTGAGGCGTATCTTCTGGAGGTAGGGCCTCGCTGTGTGTAACGATACGGTCTCGGATGCTGCGGTGTTGTTGAAGCATGCAACCAGACTTTTGAACATCCACGCCATGGGGGATGCTTCTATACTCATAGCTGGCTGATCTTGTGATGAATGCCATCATATAGATGAGACCAGTGCTGAAAGACGGGGTACCGTGCCACGTCAGTCATTAGCGACACAGATGCAAATGCAGCGCTGCCGTTACTGCCCAACGCCCAGTATTACCCTGAATGAGCACAACTGGTTGGCCTCTTTCAGCTTCAATTAGTCTGTTGAACCCAAACTTGGCAAGTTGTCACTGCTGCCAGCTGTAATTGGATGTGTCCTGGCGCTTACCGACGTATCACGGACCGAAGCATCACGCTAACCAGATGACGGCTTCTTCTTTTTTCTTTTTCCTTCAAAAATGATAGGCTATGCGTGAACGTGAGAAAAGATGCTCAGCAACGTCATCTCCATGAGGTGAGCGTGAAAGACGTGCAATGTGTAACACCGGAAATAATGATTGCTATACTCTCGAAGGAGCTACCCTCTGCAACCTAGATAGGTCCACCGCTTTCGGCCTACTTGAAACGATAATTATCCGCTCAGAGTACTCACAGCGCAACATAATTACAGTAGCAATATTTTCACCGCATGCCAGTACTCCAGTCTGGCTGGTGTTGAAGCTATCGTCTACGTGCACAGTTGCTGGGTACTACTCAGACTCGGAGAAAAGATATCTACTGCCTAACTACCTACGCCATTAGAGAAGAAAATCAATATGCTGCTGGCTTGCCTGAGGAACTCGGTGGCGAGCATGATAGAGCGGTGTTGAGGAGCTAGCTACATAGTATTCCCAGTTCAGTCTGCTTCTTTACAATGAATTTAAGAAGATTATTATTTCTTGATCTTGTTTACTCTACATTACCCTAGAAATATAACAATAGATAAGAGTATTGTATTCAGACTGCGTAACAGAGATTGTGACGGTAAAGGATGACAAGTGGTGGTGCGTCTGGTGCAGCCAAAGCACTCCATATCCTTTGAGCCACCTCAGGAGTAAACGAACCACATAATTGACGCGATGAAAGAACAAGTACAAAAGTACATTGTGATTTTTCGTTTCATGAGGACCGACACATTGTGCCAAGTATTTGGTGGTGCGCAAAGAACGGCCACCTAAGGCAGTGAGACGCCGCCACAAGCCGTCACACGTGTCCTTCCATGACAAGGGCTGAGGAACGTGGCATCAGCTAATGATTTGTGTCAAGTTATTTAAGAAGTCGATGGCAGAAAGCCACGACGGACGGACCGCCACTACTTTGTTGGGCTGTTCGTTTTTCGAATGGCTCATGAAAATGAATGCTTCGCTATTGAAGAGCTAAAAATACTTCTACTTGAAGAATGAAAACAGATGAAAGATTTGACGAAATTCATAGTCTTCTATGTAGAGTCTCGAGAGTGAAGCGGCGCGCTTCTATTCGAGATGCGGGTCACACTACTATCGTCTCTTGCCTCGGGTCATTCGTAGTTGGCTCGAGAGCAGGAGTATCTCAGCAGGTAACAGACGTCAAGAAACCTGTTTCAATAATAAAAAGAAACAAGTTGGCCAAGTTGCAAGGTGAAAAGAAAAACGCAAGGGAGCAGGGGCGGGCTTGATTTGTTTTCACGCCTTGTTGCGCAGCGGCAGGACGGCGGCGGCAACGGCGGGCTGGATGCGGCGCCAGCATATGCGACCCTGCAAATCCTGGTAGTCCTGCCAGCCGCCGGCGGCTTTGCACGGCACGCACGGCTCCGGGATCAGCGTCGGCGGTCTCGGCTCTTCGTCGGCGGCGCGGCGGCTCGTCCAGAGGTCGCAGGGGCCAAAGGGGGACTGGTGCTCGGCGAGGGGGCACAGCCGGACGGAGCGCCGGGGCGGGCCGGGATGCGCGCACTGGTACCGGAAGTATTCGACGACGCGCTCACACATGGGATGCTTCAGGTGTTTGGTGGTACTTTGGGATGGGTTGTGGTTGTTGTCGGTTGACGCGACGGGGGCGAGGACATTTATAGGGAAGAGAGAGGTTAGGAATGACGGCGAGGAAAAGGGATGGTGATACAATGTGTTCCTCGACGGGACACATGGGCTCGTACAGTTTCCTGGGCGGCTAGGGGACACACGGTCTCACAAAGGATTGCTCCGTTAGTCTGGTGTCGTACGCGGGAGGAGCACGACCATGAGCGAGGGTGACAGGAAACACAAGGTGAAAGAGGAGTATGGTTTTAAATTCTTAATTCGTAGGAGGGGGTATACAGAGATCAGATGCTGTTTCGTGTGTCCTGGTACATGATTCATTCAACTTGTTTGTCAGACTCTTTCTTACCATTCCGTCCGCACCGGAGGCAACTCATCCCCTCCCGCTGTCCGCCCTGTATCCCTTGTGCAAACTCGCGTCGAATCCTTGGCCAGGGATACATAAAGTGGCGCCTCGAATTCAGTGTGCACAGCAGATGATTGACTGCCAGGCGCTCCAAGGTTCCTGTACAACGCCAAATGATGGTCGTCATCAACAGCCTCATTACTAGTAGATGTCCGTCCCGAAAAAGATTCCCCGTCCCGCATCCATCTTTTTCATAAAAGAGTCTAAGAACAGTCAGATCTCAGCCGCCGTCTTCATCGTCATTCATGTGAAAAAAGAAACTTACTGCCCGTTATCTCGCGCCGCGCCTCCCTCTCCGCCGCCTCCTGCCATATGCTGCAGCACCACAGCGCCACCAGCACGTCCACCTGCTTCCGCGGCAGCGCCCTCGTCAGGATCAGCCTGCGCTGCTCGTCCGCCGCGTCCTCAATCGCCACCACCGCCGCGTCCTCCTCCTTCTTCTCCTCCTCGCCGCCGCCGCCGACCACCCACCTGGAGCGGTCCCCCGCCCTCCGCAGCTCAAACGCCGGCAACTCCCCGTCGCCGTCGCCGCCGAAGCGCGCACGGCTCGTGGTCGCGGCCGGCACGACGACGGGCAGCGCGCGGAAGCCCGCTGCGAACCCGCCGCGTCGCGCCTTGGCGAGGCCGACGTGGCCGAGCGTGCGCCGGGGGGACTGGCTGTGCAGGTAGTACTCGGGCGCGTCGGAGGCGGCGCGGGCGCGGGAGAAGCCGATGCGCGGCTGCTTGACGCTGCGGCGGAGGTCGTAGAGGTGGCGGCTGCGGTGGCGGACGGCGCCGCTGCTGGCGAGGACGGTGTCGAGGCGCTCAAACTCGACCTTCTCGGTGGACTTGGTGAGGGTGGCGACGGCGCGGGATAGCGCGTAGGCGGGCGGCGAGGAGACGTTCTCGGCGTGGACGGACTGCCCGGCGAGGATGAAGACGGTCGGCTCGACGAGGGGGTCGTCCTGGGGGTCGTCGGGCTGTGATTGGGCTTGGTAGGGCGGTGGTTGGTAGGGAGGAGGTGCGGCGTCGTCGAAGGCGTCGTCTTTGGTCATGATTTTCGTGGGGAGAGAGGTGTTGAGAATGAAGTAGATTGGAGCTTGGGGAGATCGAACTTGGCGATGGAAACGGCCGGCCGATGGACGTAGTGGGCTATTTAACGAGAATCTATCGATGGTCACTGGTCGAAGTTCTGCGTCGTCATATCTTGGCGCCACTACGGGCTGTGGCGGAGCAGCAGGGCTGAGCACTAGCCGGCCGGGGCGGGCGAAGATATACGCCCAATATTACAGGGCTCAACAGTCCGAATAGGCAAGTCGCAGGAATTTAGTTCGAAGACATCCAGGGACCACTTGGTAAGTCGCATAGCGGATCACGGGGCTTAGACGGTAACTGGACTAGCATGGGCCTTGTGCCCGGCCAGGACTTCTTGGCAATTGGACGGAGAGATATTGACGCTTGCGAGTCCAGACGCCGAAGCAATCGGCGTTTGATGAGCCTTTTCTCACATTTCTTTTACCCGTGGGCGCTATTGGTTTCCTAGACACTGCGGCTCTCGGTTTCTTCGACGCGGCGGCCTTTTGGGCTTCGCGATTTCGAGTTTGGGCAACCCGCATACGAGCTTGAGGGGCCATAATGAGTCTCTCAATTTTATCGAAAATAAACCGAAACTACGGTGTAATGCTGTATCTAACAATCTTCCCAGGGTGATATTTCTATGGGCGGTTGACTGCCCTGTCATGATCCCGCGAAACACAAATAAGCAGAGAACCATCAGACGGAACACGGTCATCTCAAATGCACGACAAATGATAGACAACAGTTATGTATATGCGACAATCTCAGTCTGAGCCAACTCCCACACAAGTCACGCCAGAGCTTAGAGTCATCATATGACGTATTATTAGATTTGTATCATCTTGCTCAACAGATACCAGTCGTCCTGCTGGAACCCGGCTGGAGATCTGACTAGCTGCTGAGACGACAAATCCGTCGGTGGCATTTGTTCAAATGCGAACAAGCTATGTAGGAAGAATGGTTTTACAGTTGTTTATTGAAATGGACCTACTTTCATCTCCGGTCACAGCTCCATACCACATCATGTGTCGCAGCTGTGCCTATACAGGGTAAAAATCATTCTAGGCTGTCATCCATCTTCTCATGCCTCAATTCGCTTTCCAAAAAAGACCCATGCAAACGTTCGTGAAAAAAAGACGTCATGAACATCCATCCATCTCAGTAATAATATCCACCCCGCGGTCGCCGGCCGTCAATCGACACCTCGAGCTCGCGGAAGTGCTCGTCCAGGTGCCCCGACGACCGGCGCCGCCTGCGCTGCACCGGCCTGTGGTGGTGGTCGCGGTCAATCTCGATGTCGAGCTCAATCTCGCGCGAGCGGTCGTTCGTCTTGCGCCGGCGCGCGCGGCGAATGTCCTCGGAGAGATTCATGAGCTCCGAAACGGCGTCCTGCAGCCGGTCAGCAAATGTCCTCGACTCTTCCCTCGTTGGTCTGCTGATGGTCAGGTGAGAACTTACCGAGGGCAGGAACATCATGATGTAGTAGTAGTGCTTCGACTCCTGATACGGGTATCCCAGCCGGTCCATCGCCTCCCGCGAGACCAAACTCCTCGACACCTCGGTCCACGTGTCCCGCGGCGCCACCACCCCCGGCCGCGACCGCGACCTTCTCCTGCGCCTGCGCTGCTCAATATCAATCTCCGTGTCCCTGTCCACCACCGCCACGCTCAGCCTGCGCTCCCTGGCCTTGGTGCCCTCCCGCGGCGCGTTCTTCAAAATCGGCGCCGGAACCGCCCCTACTGCCGCACTGCCGTCCGGCAAAAACTTGGTCCGCCGCTCCCCGCTGTACCGTGTCCAGGTCGTGTCCGTGCGCGCGCCGCCCGCGCCGTCCATGCGCACCCGCTCCGCGCCGCGCGCCTCGCCCATGCGCCCGCGGGCGTCGATGCGCGACGCGATGCGCTCGCCCTCCGAGGAGCGGCCCATCATGGATCGCGCGCGCCGCGGCGCCACGTCCACGCGCAGCCGGTTGCGGTAGTCGGAGTCGGAGTCGGAGTCGTAGATGCCGAGGTCGTCGTCGTGGTAGCCCCGGTGGCGGGAGCGGCTGCGGGAGCGCCGCCGAATATCCACGTCGGTGCGGTGCTTGTCGAGGTGGATGTCAATGTCCGTCTCGCGGAAGTCGTCCCGTTGCCTCCGCGGCGGCGGTGGCGGGGGAGGGCTGGGCTGCGGCGCCCGGATGACTCCTACGTTCCACGGTCAGTATTGCATGTGAGATTCTCCCCTTTGCTGGGTCCCAGGCGCCTACCGTGGTCAATGTCGGTGTAGTGCGTAATCACCTCGCGCTCAATCGTCGGCGCCTTGATGACTGGCGGCGGCGGCGAGGGCGAGGGCGACCGCTCCGGCGACCGTCCGCGCTCGCGCTCCACGATGCGGATGCGCTCGTGGTCAATCTCAGACGACGGCGGTGTGGGCGAGCGCTCGCGCACCACGCGCTCCACGAAGCGCACCGTCGGGCTCGGCGAGCTCCGCCGGCGGACGGGGCTCACGGTGCGCTCCGTCTCGACGATGCGGGTGCGGGAGCGCTCCCTGGCCGGCGGCGACTCGCTGCGCGCGCGCCGCACGATGCGCTCCTCGAGGATGCGCCGCGGGGGCGGCGACGGGCTGCGGTGTCGGTCGAAGGACTCGACCTCGCGCCGGCGCAGCACCATGGGACCTGGCTCGGCGCGGCGGCCGCCCTCGCGGAGGAAGGCGGGCGTGCGGTCGCGGTGCTGATCCGCCATGTAGACGTCGTGCTCGCGCTCCATGACGCGGACCTGGTCACCTCCGCCGCGGCCGCGGGACGGCTGCGACATGTAGTCGGCCTCCTCAAAGTCCGTCGTTCGCCTGTACGACATTTCTGACAGAAGTTCCCCTTCAGTCTTCTTCTGCCGCTGTGTGATGGAGTGTCCGGTTGTGTGATTTCTCTCGATGAGAGAATTTTGCCTGCTGTCCGGTAAGAGAGATAAGAGAATCGACCCTAAGTGACGTAACGGCGTTTTCCGTCCCGCGTCGGGCCGCTATCGTGGGGTTCGTCGTAGCGTCAAGCCGTTTGCTCGGGCTGAACCCAGATGACGGAACAGGTAGAGCACGCAACGGGACGTCTTTGGTAAAGAAAAGGGGAAAACAAGTTGACGCTCTTGCTCATTATTTTGAAAGAGGAAAAGAGCAAACCAAGGTGTGTGAGCGCTTAGCCCAGGGTGGAGAGGTCAGGCCTCGATGCCGTATGGCCACGGGGGAAAAAAGAGGCTGGGCTGGGCAGACTCAGCGGGCCACAGGCCACCACTCACGCCCTGTTTCCTGTTTCCCCTCCCCCTCCCCATCATGCACCTCATGCTCTCGTGCATCAGCTGGCCCCTAGCTGGATTCGCCGAGACCTTTCTTGCCTTGCACCTTGGGATGCGCTGTAACCTGATCTTATTCGAGTCCTAATAATAAGCAAGTCCGTTACAAGAAAAAAAAAATGAGCCCGTATTGGGCCGCGCCCCGTGTTTGCCTGTCACGCCTCACAATCACAGGCAAGACAGCGAGCGACATGGGTCGACAGGCTACGAGGCGCCCAAGGCAAAGCACCAATGCATCGTCATTGTCATAGTATGTACTGTAGGTACGTCACGGTATCCATCGATCTGCCGCCTGCAGGGTACGACACCTGGCAAAGGAAATTATTCTGTTTCCAAGTAATCTATGCTCAACAAGTAAATTCAAAGGAAAGCCCTTCTCCCAAAACTCCCTTCCCAGCTGCTGTCTGTCCTCCTGTCATGCCCGTAACCCATGACATCGTGGCTCTTTTTGCACCCTCCACCTAAAATGTGCTACACCTATGCCAGCCCACGCTTGACATCCTTCGCCAACAAGCCCTTCAGATTCGACTCTGGCCTGGCGTGCTGCGGGCGCCCACCGAGGACGTCCACAATGTCGCGCATCTTGAGCCACTCGGACAGCTTCGGACGGCGGTTGGGCCAGTCCGTCTCGTCCTGCTCCAGCTCCTGCACCGGCGTAAACACCAGCTCTGAGCCCTTGATGCCGATAACAGAGGCGCTCAGCGGATCCGTGCTGCCTCCCGTCGTCGCTGTCCTCCTGCCGTAGCCCTGCAGGTGCTCCATGCACTTGATGGCGTGACGCACCGCGCGGCACCGGTCCATGGGCGACGGCACTCCGCCCTGCTGCACGTGGCCGGGGATGCTCTCGCGGCTCTCGAAGCGCCCATGGGCCTCGTCGCGGATGATTCTGGCGATTAACTTGGCGTCGTAAACACTGCTGGCTTTTTCGTTGATGAGGATTAGACGACCCGCGCGAGACTGGCCCGTGTCCTCGGCAAAGACCTTTTTGAGATGTGTGACGTCGGTGTTGAGCATGTCAAGGCTGATGCCCTCTTCCGGGATGTAGACTGCTGATGCACCGACAGCCAGGCCAGCCAGCGTAGCAATGTAGCCGGACCGACCACCCTGCGTTTCGATAACAAAGACGCGGCGACGGGTGGCAGAAGCCGATTGCTTAATCTTGTCGCAGTACTGGACGAGTTCATTCAGACATGTATCGGATCCGAGAGAGTATTCAGTACCCGGAACGTTGTTCGAGATGGTTGCAGGCAGCAAAACCATGGGAATACGGAGCGAGGGGAATGTTTCCCGAGCAATACGCAGCTGCGACAACGCATGGAAAGCTTCAAATCCACCGACCATAAATAGAGCGTCAAACTCGTACTTGGCAATCAGATTGGCAATGTGCTCCATGCCAGACTCTGAGGGCAGCTCTCTGTTTGTGCCAATCTCGGAGCCACCCTTGCTAGCCCAACCATCAACTTCAAGCCAGTCAAATTCCCGGACAGCGCCGACGGGCTTATCGCCGTGATGGCGCGCAAACCCAGCAAATCCGTTGTAAATACCGATGGGTGTGTGCCCACGAGAGAAGCAGTAGGCTACGGCCGCACGGACCGCCGCATTCATGCCTCCGGCAGGCGCTCCGACATTGATAAAGCCAATCCTCATACGCTCCTTCTCGGGGAGCTTGTGTTCGTCGGTCTTAACGTTGGTCGTGGTGAGGTAAGACTTGTACTGGTCAGAGAACTCGGTGTCGCGGAGAGACATGGCCTTATCGAACTGCTTTTCTTCCACGGCCTTGGCGACCGACTTGGTTTCCTCAACCGCCTTCATGAGCGGCTTGCGAACAATCTTGTTCTCGTTGATGGCGATGAAGCACGTTTCCGTTTCGGGCGTGGCCTCGAGAACGGCCTTGACCGCCTCGACGCCCTGCAGCGTGCCAAGCATGCGGTCGTACGCGACGGCCGTGCCACCGCGCTGCACGTGGCCCAGGGTGGTGATGCGCGTGTCGAGGGCGAGCCCGCCCTCTGACTTGTCGGCCAGCAAGTTCTTGATCTGCTCGGGTGTGATCTTGTTGCCGTCCTTGTCGTTGGCGCCCTCAGCGACGATGACGATGGTCTTGCGTTTGCCAAAGGCACGGTGCCGCTTGACGACAGCACACATCTCCTCGTGCCAGCACTCGCTGACGGGTCTCTCCGGAATGAAGACGAAATCGGCGCCGGTGGCAACGCCGGCGAGCAGCGCCAGCCAGCCGCAGTGGCGGCCCATGACCTCGATGACAAAGGCGCGCGAATGGGAGGCGGCGGTGGCCTCGATGTAGTCGACCATCTCGCAGATGCGGGAGAGTGCCGAGTAGCAGCCAATGGTGGCGTCGGTGCCAGACAGGTCGTTGTCAATGGAGCCAACGAGGCCGACAATGTTGAGGTGTTTGTAGGGCTTGACTTGGCTAGCGGTCAGCTGCCCTGTCGAGACGAGCTCCTCGAGGAGCGACGGCCACTCGCTGCGGAACCTGTCGGCGCCGGTCAGGGAGCCGTCACCTCCGCAGATGATGAGGGCGTCGATGCCGTTGAGCACCATGTTTTTGGCTGCCCTGACGCGGCCGGGCCGCTCGTAAAACTCCATGCACCGGGCGGTGCCGATCAGCGTGCCACCCTCGGAGAGGTAGCCGCGGACCTCCGACCAGCCCATCTGGCGGATAAGGTCACCGCCCTTGACAAGTCCCTCGTAGCCTTCGTAGATACAAAACGCATCGCAGCCCATGTGGATGGCGGTGCGGACGACGGCGCGGACGACGGCGTTCATGCCCGGGGAGTCACCGCCCGAGGTCATGACGGCGATCTTCTTCCTGGGGGCCTCCATTGCGGCGGTGGAGGTTGAAGAAGTGCGTTCAATGGGATTGTAGTGGTAGGTTGTAGTATGTCGAATGTCGGATCGTGCGGGAGCAATGGGCGTGGACGAGACTGCCTGAGACGACTGGCGGCTCAATTGGTATACATAGGTGGGCAGGTAGTTAGTGATTAAGCTGCCAAGCACGGACGCCTCAATAGCTTGGCCACCCAGCACGTGGTCGTAGCAGCGACGGTGGTGATAACTGTCGACGACGTTGCTCAACGGCAATAAAGATATCAGAGGAGTGATGGCGTTGTGATGTCGCGCAGGCGAGAAAGAAAAAAAAAGTCGCAGTGTTAAGTCTACGAGAACGAGGGGCAAGGAGCTCTTATCGGTCCGGATGCAGCTATCGCTATCTGAAGTCCAGCTAGTTTAGCCTGTGTGGGGCAACCCATCTTCGGTGCTATTTAGCCGTCTCTTAGTGGCTGTACAAGGGCGATTAGTGGTCTTGCAGCCGTTCTGACAGCGCAAGTCCACTATAAACTAATGCCTCACCGTATCCACAGCGCTTGGATTATACACGGCAGCGCCTAAAGCCAGTTGAAGCAGGGTCTGAGGAATCTTGGTTCTGTAATATCACGATAGTGGCTGGACGAGATGAGACCCGCCTGGACGGCCCTGAACCCTTGAAACGCGACACAGCAACATTCTGCACCCCTCGCAAGACAGCAGTTGGTCTGGAAAGTAAAACTGTAGGCGTGACATGACGTCTTGTCTTATAAAAGTGCGGGGGCGGGCGCAGGGTTTCTTGTCGAACCTTATCCAGCGGCATCACCTTCATCCCAACTATTTTTACACGGGCTCACATAGGTACCTGCCAGCCACGGGAAGCCGAAAGATGGGATGTGGAAGCATTGCCCAATATGTGTGTAGCAACTTGTTCAAACTATAGTACTCTTTCCTTTGTGTGTGAGTTGACATACTGCAGATCTGGTTGGGATGTTTCGATCCAACTTGTCAATTTACAGTACCAGGCCTGTTTGTGGAGCGCACTAACTTAGACTATCTAGTGCAAAGCTGCTTGACTGCTGGTACATACGACTATAGATAATAAAGAATTCGGGGTCCCGTCTCGTTCTTGATTAGGGTTGTTTAGTAGGCTAGAAGTATGGTCGTTAACTCTAGAAATGGCTGGCCTAACTTTCTTCTTTTAGAGGTGCTACAACTAGAAGCTCACTACTAGTGCTATCTAAGTATAATACTAAGTAAATATAAACCCACTAGCTTATAGAGGTACAGTGTGGCAACATGTATTTAACCCCTTCATGGTACCTAGCCAAAGAAGACGGATAAGATGCTGCCATTGCGTGGGCCGAGTGCGGCCAGCCGCCTGCTGACCTCGACGCGGCGTAGACGGAAGAGTACCAAAAGGAAAAGGTCAAAGAGTACGGGGAAAACCTGGAAAAGGCCTGCGTGTGGCAGGCCTTTGTGCTGGACGCGGGGGGGGGGGGGGGGGGGAGTGGTCAGGTTCGGAAAAAAGAGGCGAGATTTAAATACGGGAATGTGGTGTATATGGAGCGAGAGATCTACATGGCTTCACTGACATCATACTGATTCAGTGCATCACGACCTGGAAGACAAGCTTTTGGGGGTGCCGCCTTGACAAGTAATTGAAAAGAAAAAAAGTAACTGTATCTCATCATATCCTGCTGTGGTATGGAGCTGGTGTTGTGGAGGTTGGCCCAGTGTGTACACTACGAATTTCATAATTGGTAAAGACCATTCTAGAAGCGAGAGCTACATCTTATTCGCTAGTTGAACTAATTGGCCCCTTGCAACATTTCGTTACAATCATGACCTCATCCGTCCTCGCACTCGCCGGCAACGCTACGCTTCGCCAAACCTGACTGATACGGCCCCCCAACTCGTGTCGACGTCCGTGTGGTGCACCGGCGTGCCCTTGACGGCCGTCCTTGTGTTGCGGACCCTATCCGTCTCGACACCCTCTCCCGTGACGGCGATGCTGGCCGAGTTGCTGTGCGCCTCCACCGTGCCCTCCCACACGCCCGGGTAGGCGATCCAGACGCTGCCGCTGCTGGATTTGTGCCTGCACATGTAGCCCACCTCGCCCGCCTTGCCCGCCTTTTCTGCCGCGCCGGCCGTCTTGTCCTCGTCCGGCGCGGCGACGATGGTGATGTTTTGCGAGCCGCTGGTGGTGGTGGTGGCCAAGTCAGACCGCCGGTCGAGGCTGAGGTCTCGCAGGAGCGCCGTAAGGTGCTGCGACCCGCTGCTTGACTTGATAGACGTGAGCTTGGTCATGCCGAGGACGCTGCGGATGGTGCCCGAGCTCGACTGGATCGAGACGTGGCAGTCGCGGCCGGGCGAGTGCACGCCGGCGGCGGCGGCGGCGGCGGCGTCGAGTTTGGAATTGATGCTGAGAGAGCCAGAGTTGGACTTGATGGACAGCTTGGTCTCGTGCGCGGCGCTCTTGTTGTAGTAGAGAGGGAGGAGAGTGATGTCTGCCGTACCAGAGCTCGTGGAGACGTTGAGGAGGTCCATCATGGGGATCAGACCGCTGATGCCTCCGCTTGTACTGGCAACAAGGAGCTCCCGTGCGGGTCGAAAGTCGACGTCTGCGGGCGAAAGATGTTTGGCGCCGGCCGGGACGTTGGGCGTCTCGATGTCCCACTTGATGTGGTAATCGCTCGACTGCAGCTTCAACTGGTCGAGGCCGACCTCTTCGGCGCCTTTTGGCCAGCGCAGGTAGATTTGCAGAGGTTCTGCGCTAACCGTGTTGACCACGATGGTCTGTGTCTTGTCGACGGAGTTATTCCGCACGTCGTGGGAGGCTGTTGGCTGTCCGCAGACTTCGACCACAGCGCCAGCGCCGGCGGGCACATTCTGGACGTGGATGGCGCCAGAGGGCGCACCGCTGACGAGGGATTGCAGGGTGCCGAGGAAGCTGCTGCTCTTTTGCTTCTGCTGGATGTGCAGGCTGCGCTCGCTGCCCAGGCTGATGGGTATCGAGATGAGAGTTTCCATGATGGACAGGACTCTGATTGATTTTGTGCCTTTCTTTGGGTGGTCGAGACAAGGTAGAAGACGGATGACGGCCTTTGGATATTATATAAAGGTGCAAATGACCAGGCGATCGGTTAGGTAGAAACCGAACCTGTAGTAAAGGCGGTTAACGATAGAAGCTACTTTGTTGAGTTTGTTAGCATTCATGTCCTTGAAACAGCAGTGTTTGAAGACAAATTCGAGGTGCCCAGTAGAAACATTCAGAATCCTTTAGTCCAAAACAAGACCTCATTGCAAAATACATGACTTTGCTCAGAAGAGGTGCCAGAAGTAATTGCTCTCATCAAGTAGAATAGAGTAGGAAAAACGTGTAAGAGAAGATAAAACCTACCAAACTTAGCAAAGGAGTAAGTTGGTTATATATGGAGTATTGGTAAACGCTAGGACAGGTAACAGTAGAACGTGGCTTTTTTTTAAGAAGAAGAAGAAGCAGAAGAAGCAGAAGAAGCAGAAGAAGCAGAAGAAAAAGCAAAGAAGCAAAGAGAATATTGCTAAATCCTAGCAGTTGAGGAGGGACGACTGGGTACTTTATAGAATTACTCAGTATGAATTCACGGCAAAATTGAGGCTTCCCGGGCGCTGCTCGGGCCGGCGACCTTGCCCGGCGTAACTTATACTGCAAGGGTTCGGCGCAAACACCGTTGTAAGTTGATTGGTTCGGCACAGGCTCGGTCCGGTGGGTACACATACTGACTTTGTACATGCAGTAACTAGAGTAGTTCCTCGCTGAGGGCCTGACGCACCCACCCTCAGTTGACGTGTCCCTACTTACAACAACATACGTAACTAGTTTTTAGAGTCACACCGAAACCACCATTGTCTGTCTTGTCCACAGCAAAAGGTCAACCACGATCTCTGACAAGCCACTCACTCAATGCGGCGTAATCAACCTTGCTGCCATTGTGCCCGCTTCAACAGTCAAGCGGCAGCAGCAACTGTGCGATGCCGCTCGATGGCAAAGGTAGCCGCGCTGCTCGAGCCTGCAATGCCTGCAGGACAAGAAAGGTCCGATGCGATGGCGCGCTGCCGTCGTGTGGCCCTTGCGCGTCGTCAGGCGCCAACTGCACTTTTCAGGTCACGGCAGCGAGACGAGCACCGCAGGCGACCAGATTACACGTCGAGAAGCTTGAGACGCGGCTCGGCAGGCTGGAGAGGATGCTAGGTATCCAGAGCGATGGACTAGCGATGGACAGTCGTGCTGAGCAAGGCAACCCCGGCAACCCGACACCGAGCGACTCAACTCGCACATTGCCTGGTTCGCCCGAATCCACGGCCGTTGCACCGCATCTTGTCCCGGTTGCCGATGACCACAGCGCATGGGCAGGGCGACTCGACAAGGGGACGTCGTCGTCGGAAGAAGCGTGCAACCTGCCGACAGTCGGCCGCTTCATAGGCACATCATCGGCTCTTTCCATCCTCAGCGCCGAGGGCATGCAGTGGGTGCGCTCCCAGACCGGCGGCAGCAGTTCGCCACACACCCTGGCCAAGTTGCAATGCTACGAGGTTCACGGCCTGGACAAGCTGCTGCTGCCTAGCCGTCTGTCAAGCGCCAACAGGTATGTTGCGCTGCCAGCCAGAGACGAGTGTGTCATGCTGCTAAGCCACTACTGGCGCAGCAGCAACCGCATCTATCCTCTCTTTAACGAGCGGCACTTCATGACCCGGCTCGAGGCCGCTTACGCCGATGCATCGCCGTGTTTCCCAGGCCCAGGCTCAGGTTCAGGCTGGTGGGCTAGCGTCAACATTGCCCTTGCTATCGGGTGCGTAGTGAGAGAGCCCACAGGGTTGAGTGACGGCTGCCGGTCGTCATCGTTCTTTGCAACGGCCATGGCAAGTCTGTCCGACGTCAGCAGCCAAGTCTCGGACCTCGAGACGATCCAAGCTTTGCTGGGCGCGGTCATTTTCCTGACCGGAATACCCCGTGCGCACGACTCGTTACCCTTGCTCGCCATGGCGATGCAGCATATCCATAGGCTCGGCCTGCATCGTGCGTCTGCGACTGCCGATTGTGCCCATGCAGATGCGGAGCAGCGCAGACGCGTCTTCTGGATTGCCTACATCATTGACAAGGAGCTGAGCATTCGCTTCGGCCAGCCGCCGCTGCAGGACGATGACGACTTTGACGTCGAGCTCCCGACTGCTGTGCCCCCGGACGGCCTAGGCATGATGTACGCCCACAGCCACGATGCTGAACAGCCTGTTGTAAGGCTCAACTATTTTCGAGCCATGGCCGTCTACATGACGATACAGGGCCAAGTCCGGCGGCGCCTCTACTCTGTCAGAGCAGGCCGCCAGTCGCGCAATCAAACTCTGCAAGCCATTGCCGAGCTGTACGGAGCCTTGCAGAGTTGGCGACGGGCTATTCCGGCTGCCTTCCGGCCCGGCAACGACATGGCTGGCCTCGAGAACTCCTGCCGATTTTACGTCACTGTTTTGCATCTGGCATACTACAGCTCAGTTGAATTAATCCACAGACGAAACGGCCGCTCGAGCTGGGCAAACAAAGCGCCGTGCCAGCCAGGTGAAGCAGGTGCGACTGCTTCGCCATCAATACAGTTTGAGAGCGCCAGCCTTTGCGTCGACGCCGCGCGACAATCCATGTCGATGCTTGGACATTATTCTACTCACGACTCAAAATACATTTGGTATGTTCTTTTCTTCTTTATTTCACATTCATCACCCATATTTTTCCCACCATTCTAATGATTGCATAGGGCTACTCTCCATTACCATATTGCAGCCTTTGTTTCGCTCTTCACCAGTATCATAATAAAACCAGCCAACCTGCGTGCTAAAGACGACCTGTCCGTCCTAGTAGACTTTTGTCGCTTTCTAGCACGCCTAGCTACATCATCTAGCGTATCCCCTTCTATTCAGGCCGTCTTGTCTTTTTGCTTAACATTGAAGGGTCTAGCTAACGCTGCAATTTACCAGGCCCAGATCGCCTCTCCTAGCGGCAGTTTGTTCCATGATTATTATCATCTCGCCAATGACATATCTGCGGCGGCTTCTCACCAGTGTCAGCGGAAAAGAGGTGCGCGTTCGCCACAGCACGATATGGCAGCAGAGGACAATGCCGTCGTCTTTGATCCCCTTTTAGACAGTACATCACAGGAACTCAGCTGCACGCCGCTGACCTGGCTCGACACAATAGACGAGGCACTGCAGTCGCCCCTCGCAACTGCAAATTGGCACCAGCAATATGGAAATGGCATTGCCAGTACTAGCACAGAGCTAGAGCTGGTGCGCTGCGAGAGCCAACGCGACGCCATGGCCGAGCCATACCTTTTTGACTTCCCGCCAGACGTTACACTGTAACTTCGCTAGCTATGGAAAGCCTTCTATGTGCTATATTGCCTTCTATGTATATTAAATCGCATCTTTAACACCTAGATAACGGACCCTACCTTGATTCCCTACTTCTCTAGTTCTCTATCTTATATATGTAACAGACAGCAAGAACGAAAGTTACCCACTACCACTACCTCGTTCTACTCCTGCCCTGGCCAGCTCTCTCCCACTCGCAGATGGGAGGACGCATCTCTTCCTCTCGGTGTGTCTGTCCTCCCCTGCTTCTCAACTCAGCCTCCACGAGCATCATCCGTCGCAGGAGGTCTTAACAACTAAGCTGTTTCTCCGCGTTCTACGATATACTTGCATGCCACTCCCATGCATCTCGCTCCGGCCTACGAAACGCAGAGTACGCGCTGGAGTGAGCACCGCCTGTGTCACCAAAGACCAGGTCATCGTAATCCGGGCTATCGACATAATCATCCACGCTTGTGAAAATGCGCTTTACTAGCGCACCCGCCTCTCCTCGCCGTCTAGTAGGTTGTAGGATTCATGCTCGGCCACTGCTGGGAAGCGTGACAGCGCTGTCGAATATAGTGACGGCAGGCACCCGACACGCGATGTAGGCCACAGACCAAAACCGTTGTCGTGGCAGTAAACACAAGCAACTTGTCAATGTCGGAGGCTGAGAGCGTCGCCGTACTTATGCTCGGCGCGTCGAGAAGCGCAAAGTACACACTGTTACCGCGGTACTGGTTAGTTCTTATAAAAATAAGGATATAATAATTAGTTTTTTAGTATATAGGAAACTTAAATACTTCTTTAAGTATAAATATTAAATATACTATAAGAGTATTATTTTTATTATAAAAATTTAGTTATATATTAAATATAATATTTATATTTAGATTCTAACTTTATAGACTTTTAGTACTTTCTTTTTATAGATTAGTTAATATTATATACTCTTTAGAAGTAATAATAAATCTACTAAATAATCTATTTATTTAAAATAAACTATTTATAAATAATAATATTTTATAATTAAGAATTTCTTTAAGCTTCTAAAAGTCTATTTTATTAATTTAATAAAAGTAAGTAGTTAATTAACTTTAAACTTAAAAGGTATTAATTAGTTTAAAGTATTTATTATATTTTTTAGTAAACTTTAACTTTCTAAGAAATTAAGAAGATATTAGAGTTAAACTATAGTCTTATTTACTTCTTTTTAAGTATACATATAATTTATATTACTTTATTATAGACTATTTAAGTATAAGTCACTCTTTCTTAGAGAATAGCTTATAAGGGTAGTAGGTAAATGTTACGAATGCTGTAAGACGTGCAGGCGGGGCTGAGTGAGGCAAGGCGAAGGCTTGTCACACTAGCCACTAAAAAGGATAGGAGATCACGTGATCTCCTCGGGATTGAGGACTTAAGCCATCGAGCCATCGATCTAGGAATAGGATCTAGGGGATTAAAGGTTAAGCCTTCTAATCTAGAGTTATAGTAGAGAGGTGGACGAGTACTTAAGGAGGAGGTATTCCTATAGCTAGGTAGTCTAGATCTCTACTAATTAATCTAAGTAATAGCTCTACTATTAGGAGACATCTCCTAATGTGACTTACACTATAATAACTGCTTATATGCACTTTATATATTTAAACTAA